CTCCACCCCCCGTACTGTCTCATGTGGTGTCCCTCAGGGCTCTGTCCTCGGTCCCCTCCTCTTCACCCTCTATATGCTCCCCCTTGGTGACATCATCCGCAAACATGGGGTTAACTTCCACATGTATGCGGATGACACCCAACTCTACCTTTCCTCCTCTACTCTCAACTCCACGACCACCGATGTCCTGACAGCCTGCCTGTCCGACATCGAGTCCTGGACGAGAGACAACTTTCTTCAGCTCAACGTGCAAAAAACCGAGGCCCTCCTGATTGGCTCACGTCAGCGCCTCCGCACCTCAGGCGCTGACACCATCAGCATCCAAGGCTGCACTCTCCACCTCTCAAAGCCAGTCAGGAACCTCGGCGTTTTGTTCGACCCTGAGCTGTCCTTTCTCCCTCACATCCGCACCACAACTGGCACCGCCTTCCATCACCTCCGGAATATCGCCAGATTACGGCACTACCTCACCCCTCACGCTGCTGAAACCCTGGTTCACGCCTTTGTCACCTCAAGGCTGGACTATGGGAACTCTCTCCTCGCCGGCCTTCCCGCCACCTCCCTCCACAAGCTGCAGGTCATTCAGAACTCTGCAGCTCGTGTACTGTCCCGCACCAGGCTTCGCGATCACATCACTCCCACCCTCGCTCGCCTCCACTGGCTCCCCATCCCCAGAGGATTGATTTCAAGATCCTCATCCTCACCTACAAGGCCATTCACGGCCTTGCTCCCTCCGACCTCTCCAACCTACTATCCCCCTACCTACCTGCCCGTACCCTCCGTTCCTCTGGCTCCGGTCTGCTCCACGTCCCCCGCCCCAACCGCCCTACTAACGGTGGTCGGGCCTTCAGCCTCTCAGCCCCAGGCTCTGGAACTCCATCCCCCAGTGCCTTCGCCTTGCTTCCTCCCTTTCCTCCTTCAAGGCCGGTCTCAAAACCTTTCTCTTTGACCGTGCCTTCAGCTCCCCTCTCGACTCTCTTCCTCCTCCTCGCTCCCTCCCTTCCCTCCCCTCACCCTGACCATTTCCCCCCTGCTCGGGTCATGACCCAACTGTGCAGCGCCTTGGGACGTCCTCCTGACGTGAAAGGCGCTCTATAAATGGAATCTTGTTGTTGTTGTTGTTGTTGCTCAACGCCCCCTCTCAAGCACTCTGATCCTCACTTCAGATGTTAAATGTAAAGAGGTCTTGGACTTCTTTATCACTAAGATAGATAACATCCAACCTGGTGTTACCGAGTGTTTCGGCTGCGTCTGGGGTAAGGTACGGTCAGAGGCGAGCAATGTGGTGAAGGTGGAAGAAGGTGCTCCTGGTCAGGCACCAGATGCGGGGAAGGAAGGACAGCTGCTGGGTCAAACCTGACGCCTAGATTGCGCACCGGTTCAATAAGTCTGAGGGATAAGCTGGGGAGGTTGAGGAGGTCAGAGTCACAGGATAGAAGATGTTGACAGGAGCCAATGTGTATGACTTCAGTCTTGTTAACATTTAGTTTTTGAGGAGGGGAGTGATGAGAACAGTTTTAAGGAGGAGAAAAACAGAAGTTGACAAGAGAGACTGGTTGACTGTGTTGGCCAGCAATGGGGAGAGGAGGGGGAGTTGGGTGACCAGCAACTGGGTGGAGAAGAGTTCGAGGCAGCAGGTGGTAGGCTTTGTCTGGGAGATGGTGGTTGAGAGGGAGGTGGGATAATCGGTGCAAAGGAGTGTAGGCAGGGGGAAGTGGTAGGGGCCGCTCCGAAAAGGAGGGGCAAGGGGCAATGATTTAGCAGCTTGATGTTCATCAGGATTGCTGCAGATAAAAGTCCAGAAGAAGAAGAGATCTGGGAAGTGCGAAGGCGGACGTAGGGGAGGGGGAAGCAGCCAAGTAGCTATTTTCAATCTTTGACACGAAGAAGGCTTGATAAAGTCAGGTGCACGGAGGAGTTGATAGATGGTGGAGAACAGTACCTTGGGGTTGCCTTTGGTCGTGAATTGAGAGGCTGGATTTTTGCCATCTGTGTTTGAGGGTCCAAGTTTTAGTTTTGAGGGAGCGGAACTGACTGTTATACCAGTGTGGGGGTTTCAATTGGAGACAGACCTGGATTTCAGAGAGGCAAGGGAGTTACAGAGAGGTGATGGTTTAGCAGCTTGATGGCTGCATCAGGATCGTTGCAGATAAAAGTCCAGAAGAAGAAGAGATCTGAGGAAGAGGGATTCGGGTAGAAGCTTTCGGGTAGAAGTTCATGAGGGATTCGGGTAGAAGCTTTTTCCAAGGTTGGAAAAAGATGGTGGACGGCTTGGGTGAAGGGAGGGTGATGTGGGAGGAGAGGGGGATGAGGAAATGATCTGAGAATGCCTCGTCTGTGATGGACAGATCGGAGATGTCAAGGCCATGAGTAATAACGAGGTTGAGGAAGTGGCCACGGTTGTGGATCTATGTGGAGGTTAAGGTTTAGTGTGACGAGGAGGGCAGTGAAGTCAGAGGAGATGGGGCAAGGGGAGTTAAGGTGAAGGTTGAAATCACCCATTATGATCAGGTGTTCAGTGCAGAGGCAGAGAGGTAAGAGGAGGGAGGAGATGTCAAGGATGAAGGAACCAGGCAGTTTGGGAGGATAATAAATGAGGAGGATTTTGAATGAGAGGGAAGGATGATGCAGGGTTAAATGTTCAAAAGAGGGGAAGGAGCCGAATGAATANGGGGATAGAACGAGGGAAGTCCAGGTTTCAGTCCAGGCGGGAGATTTTGAAATGGCGTCTCTGCGCCTGGAACCTCTGCACCTGGAATATCGAAACCTCGGCCCCTCGCTGGTCACTACCACGCCCGCTCTCCCGAGGCTTCGGCCTCTTGCCGGTCACTTATCAATCAACTCCCCCTCCTCTGTCCACTGTTGGCTGACACAATCAACAAGTCCCTCTCCTCAGGCTCTGTCCCTCTCCGCTTCAAAACCACTGTCATCACTCCTCTTAAAAAAAATCTACCCTCAATCCCTCTAACATCACAAACTTCACACCCATCCCAAATCTGCCCTTCCTGGCCAAAGTTTTAGAATGAGTCGATACAAATCAACTTCGGTCATACCACTCCCTCCTCGAACCCCTCCAATCCGGTTTTCACGCTGTCCATAGCAGGGAGACAGCACTCGTCAAAGTAACAAATGATGTCCTCTTTGTCTCCCATCAATGTCTTCTCTCCTGCGAGTCTGAACTCTTCAACCTCCCCGGGCTCTCCCTCAGACTCACCGAACCATACATGACTTAGGCATCAGTTTTGATCCCCAGATCTCCTTTCTACCCCACATCCGGTCCCTCACACCTCTCTATCCAATCTGCTACCCCTCCACTCCACCACCCGCTGCCTCTGCTCGGCGTCGTGTTCGTCTGTTGTCCCCTCTGCTCCACCATCAGTGGCCACGGCTTCAGCCACTACGCCCCAAAACTCTGGAACCCTCTCTCTCAATTCCTCCACCTTGCCCCCTCCCTCCCCACTTTCAAAATCCCACACGATCAAAAAGAAAAACCTTCCTTTTTGATTGTGCTTACGGTCACCTCCCCACTCTCTCTCCCCCTGGCTCGGTGTCAGAACCTGCCACTGTCAAACACTCCGAGACACTACTCCGTGTGAAGGGCGCTATATGAATGTAAGTTGTTGTAAGCTACAGAATTCCATAAAGAAAAAGATGCAAGTATTCCATTCGAGATCAGAAGAGATAAGGAGGGCAAGAATTGCAATCGAAGAAAGATTAAGAGTGAGCCATCAAATAAGAGGTAGTGGCTATTAGTTGCATTTGTGAGAGAAAAAGAGATTGTTTGAAAAAGTTTTTTAAAAGCACATTGATTTTTATTGCATTATCAAAGGGCACGGGTGAGATCCAGGCTTAATGATTCTGGGTGAGGATAAGTAAAGTGGTTAGGGATATCATTCAATTTATAGCTTAATTCATAGATATCAAGGGCTGGATAGGACACTGTTGAAATGTACTACCAACATCTATTTATTAATTTAACTGCATCTACACCGGAAATTTGTGCATGATAACAATAATAATGGAGCACCTTATCATGTTGAAATGTCTTAGATTGCTTTGCAGGATTTTATTTTAAGGTGTAGTGATTATGATTATGGTAAGTGATAAAACAAGTCCACTCTTATCTACAAGTATTTTTCCAGACCAAGCCATTGAATAGTAATGGGAAGCATGGGGACTGGACATTATGTGCTGGAAGTATCTTTAAGTTTAGCAAACAAGGGGATGTTGGATATGCTTTAGGTGTGACCAGATGTTAACACAATCAGATTTTCAGAAACCTGCTATGTGGTTAAATTACCCCAGCATATAATATTGTAAGCCATGTGCTTATTTTGCTTTGCTGTCATGAATGCTTTTAGTTTGTTAACATATTGAAAGGTGCATGCTATGTATATTTTTTGTTACATTGAAACAATAATTTGTTCTGAGCTTTTAGGACATTTACCAGGCCTGGGGGAAATAGATGATATGACCTTTTTTGACTATCTCCCTCTTTTCCTCCCTTGAACTCCTTCCCAACTTCCCCCCTCCAGTATTTTATATGCTGGGCAGGGCAACAGCACCAGTGTTTCATTCCTGACCACAAGGTCATGGGTTCATACATTTAAAATTACTTATCACTCTAAACTGCTTGCCTCACATGGAGGTGGGAATTGCATCTCATTAGACTTTAGGTGTAGGAAAAAAAACTGAGTGATTCATCCCATTATCCCCCAGATGATTGTGTAGCTGCATGGATGGAGATTGTGCCATAACCCCTAGCCTGCACTATCCTGCACTCTGTCTTGGAGAATAGTGTATTGTGTGAATGTGATGAAGGAGAATAGAAAATACATCTGTTTTTCTAATAAAAAGAAACTTCCTAATGATCTGTTATTGAATTCATAGTAACTGTACCAGCAGGAACCTGACAAAAGATTTTTTCCAACTGCCTATTTTAACTTCACTGTGGAATTAATGCTGCTGCAGTTTTGATTGAATTCTGTTGTTGTTGCTAGGATACAGTTGTTGTTGGGAATGAACTACATGGCCTGATGTTGAAGCATCTTCAGATTGGTGGGATTTTAAGAGCTGGCGAGGTGCAGAATGGATTGGACGGTTGCATTCAGGTAAACGGGACACTGCAATACCGCCAGTGGCTTCCAGGATTTGCTTAGTTCATTATGAAGAATGTTGCAACCCCACGCCTCCCCCGGCACCCCCAGGTCACCCTAAGATTGTGGAATCATAGAAATTACAGCATAAAGCATGGCCTTTCATCCATTGGGTTTATACTGATGCTAACTCATCCAGTCTGATCTTAATTTCTACCTCTTTCATTCCACCTTTTCATGTTGTTCCTTTTCAATAGTTTAGCCAGTTGCCACGATCTATGGGAGTTGCAACATTTCCACGTTCAACGACAGTCCAAACGGTGTTTTCCCTTTTGGTTTGTTGTTTTTACAATATCCTCCCCCTCAGTTGTTGCTGGAAACAGTTCCACATTGATCTCTCCAGGACTTTGCTCATTTTGGGGGTTCTTGTGAGGTTAGCCTGAGTAAGGGAGGGCTTTTCTATCCTGGCTGTGTTACTACTGATCAGGAAATGCTCAAAATCAGGGGTCAACTTATTGAACTATGTTTTTCCCCTCTCTGCAGGGTATGCGTCTTGGTGAAACATCAATTGGAATTGCAATACCAAAGCCAAGTCGCACTATGAATGTGGAACCAGGCTGTAACGTCGCTGATTCATGTGACTCCAGCTTGTGTTCAACTAACAGCTACTGCAGTGATGAATGGCAAACCTTCTCTTGTGTCTGTGAGCCAGGTACTGTTTGCAGAAGTCGGGGAAATGTTGGCTAGGGGAGAGGGAGGGAAAGAAATAGTAATGTGGCATATGAATAATACTAAACCTTTGTTTTTTTATACTGTTGTACATTATTCACCATTGGTGATTCACCTTCATAGATGGTGTACACATAGTGATTGTACCTCAGCTGATAGTTGATTGATTGCATTTCACTAGACCCCAGACAAAGGGGTTAATATTTTCGCATGAAATATCCGTTTGGATGGGTGAGTGACAAATAGTTTCCTTTTAGTATTAGTTTGATGCAGCCTTCTTACAAAAATATTTCTTTTATGCTACAAGTTTGCCTTCAGAGGCAAGGCAGTGGATTATAAAGTGAGCCTATAGTTAATTGTCCAGATAGACTTCATCAAATGTAGTTATCAATCTAATCTTTTGTTTGTCAAAAAAGAGCATAATGGCATGGTCATAGGGTATTTAATAATGTTTTCATGTTCAGGTTATTATGGTGAATCCTGTATGGATGCCTGTCAGCTGAACCCATGTGAAAATGAGTCAATTTGCCGTCGCAGGCCCAGTTCCTCCCACGGATACATGTGTGACTGTGGAGAGAACCATTTTGGCCAGTATTGTGAACACAGGTAAGAAAAATTGGGGGGAAATTTGTCCGAGCAATCGTACTCTATGAGTTTTTCCAGTCACATAGAACCATCATAGAATTATACAGCACAGAAGGAAGCTATTTAGCCCGTCGTGTCTATGCCTACTCTTTGAAAAGAGCTATCCAATCCAATCCCACTCCTCTGCGCTCTCCCCATAGCCCTGCAAACTTGTCCTCCCCAAATGATTATCTACTTCTCTCTTAAAAGTTGTTATTGAATCGGCTTCCATCACGCTTTCAGGCAATGCATTCCAGATGCGAACAAGTCGCTGTGTGAAAAAAATTCTCCTCACCTTCCCTCTGTTTCTTTTAACAACTGTTTGAAATCAATGTTCTTGGGTTACCGAGCCACCCGCCAGTGGAAATAGTTTCTCCTTGTTCATCCTATCGAATCCCTTCATAATTTTGAAAAATTCTGTTGTCTCCTCTTAACTTTCTTTGCTCCAAGGAGAATAAAGCTTGCGTCTCCAGCATCTCCTCATAACTGAAGTCCCTCATTCCTGGTACCATCCTGGTAAATCTCTTTTGCACCTTCTCCAATGCCTTAACATCCTTCCTAAGGTGTGGTGCCCGGAACCGAACACAGTACAATCCCTAACTGAGGCCTAAACAGTGTACTATAAAGCTTCATCATAACTTCCTGACTTTTGTATTCTATGCCCCTATTTATAAAGCCTAGTATCCTGTATGCTTTTTTAACAGTTTCATCTACTTGTCCTGCCACTTTCAAAGATTTACTTATCTGAACCCCCAGGTCTCTCTGTTCCTTCACCCCCTTTAAGATTGTGCCATCAGCTTATATTGCCTCTCCTCATTCTTCCTCCCAAAATGTATCACTTCGCATTTCTCCACATTAATCTTCATCTGCCACCTGTCTGCCCATTTTACCAGTCTGTCTTTGTCCTCTTGCAGTTTGCTACTGTCTTCCTCACCGTTTACTACATTTCCTATCTTAGCATCATCTGCAAACTTGAAAATTGTGCTCCCTATACCCAAGTCCAGGTCATTTATGGAGTGGAGTCCTGTAGCTCAGTGGTTAGAGCTCTCGCTTTGCAAGTGAGAGACCTGAGTTCAATTCCAGGCAGAGGGCGAAACCTTGGGCAAGTTTCCTTAATCCACACGCCTAATAATAATCCCTCCAAAACTAAAAATAATAATAAATTGGTCATTTTCAATCTACGACTGTTTGTGGGACATTGCTGTGCGCAATTGGCTGCCGCGTTCGCCCACAAATATACAGTCAATTCACTTTACAGTGTGTTCTGTGAAGCGCTTTGGGACGTGAAAAGCGCTATATCAAATGCAAGGATTATTATTATTATTTATATAGATCAAAAACAGCAGTGGTCCCAATACTGACCCCTGGGGGACATCACTGCACACTTCCCTCCTGTCAGAAAAACAACTGTTCACCACCACTCTCTGCTTTCCGCCAGCCAGTTCTGTATCCGCTGCCACTGTCCACATTCATCCACCCTCTCTGTTACTTCATCAAAAAATTCTATCAGGTTTGTTAAACATGATTTGCCTTTAACAAATCCATGTTGGCTGTCCTTTATTAATCCATTTTTTTTAAGTGAAAATTGTCCCGGATTATACTCTCTAGAAGCTTCTCCACTACTGACTGGCTGACTGGCCTGTAGTTCCCGGGTTTATCCTTCTGCCCCTTTTTGTACAGGGGAGTAACATTTGCAACCCTCCGGTCCTCTGGCACCATCCCGATGTCCAAGGAGGATTGAAACATTATGGCTAGAGCCTCTGCTATTTTCACCTTACTTCCCTCAGTAACCTAGAATGCATCCCATTCGGACCGGGTGACTTATCTTCCTTGAGCACCGTCAACCTTTTTAGTACCTCCTCTCTGTTTATTCTTAACCTATCCAATTTCTCTACTGTATCCTCTGATACTGTGGCATTGCCTGCTCTTCTTTTGTAAAAACAGATGTAAAATACTTAGTTCAGTACATCAGCCATGTACTGCCTCCACAAGAAGATTTTCTCTTTGGTCCCTAATTGGCCCCACCCTACCTTTGACTAACCTTTTATTCTTTATATGCTTACAAAACACCTTAGGGTTCCCTTTAATGTTAATAGGTTCCCTGTTAGGCCTCAGCTAGGGACCGTACTGTGTTCGGTTCAGGATGATGCCAGAGGACTGTGCAAATTGTACTCCCCTGTACAAAAAGAGGTAGAAGAATAAACCCGGGAACTACAGGCCAGTCAGCCCAGCGTCAGTAGTGGAGAAACTTCTGGAGACTATAATTTCTCACACAATCTCTTTGCCTGTCTCATTTCCTTTTCAGTTTTCCTCTGTATTTTCTATATTCTATTTGATTATCTTCTGTATTTTGAACCTGAAATTTAGCATAGCCTCCTTTTTCTGTTTTCTTGAGTGACTCAGGGATAATCCGCTGGCTTGAATTTCCCTTTTGGTCTACAGCTTCTGTTCTGTTCTCTGGAGACTGTGTCACTGTGACGAGGTTGGCAGATGTGAACATACATCCTTTCATTGCACAGGTTTTGCTGCAGCTCCAAACAGAGAACTTTAAAACAATAAAGAAATATTAGATTATTTTCACAGTAAATTATCAGCTTTGCAATAAACTCTGGTTTTCTGCTAAACTTCTAAATTAGAATTGACCAGCAGTGCCCCAAAGGCTGGTGGGGAAATCCAACATGTGGACCTTGTAACTGCGATGTCAATAAAGGATTCGATCCTGACTGCAACAAGACAAATGGACAATGCCTCTGTAAGGTAGGTCTGAGAAGATCATCATGAGAAAATGAGATCTGTTATGTCCCGCCTAGGAATATCTGAGTTAACTGTGGGAATGTGAAGCTAAGTGACATCCAGTATCACAAAAAGACTAAATATAATGCCGCTTTGTGGTTGTGTAATATTGTCTACCTTTAATACATCCAACAACAACAGGGATGTGCAGTATTAGAAAAGATTACATCTGGCTGATCCCATTTTCAAATCCCATCTCTCCCAGGGATCACATACCCTACAATCTGTTTTGCTAACATAAATGTATCCACTTCGCTCTTGAAACTTCCCAAACTATCGGCCTCTATCACCTCTCCAGTCCAAATGTTCCACATGTCATTCACCCTGTGCATTCACTTGTCCTCTGTGTTTCAGATCGTGTTCGTGGACCTCTTGACCACATTAAGGTTTTGTAGTTTAGAGTCCAGCTTGTCTACCTTTTAGGATCTAGATCTGCCAGATTTAAATAAAATCACCACTCAACTTCTCATTTCGCATTTCTGAAGTAATCAATGCTCAGTAACTGTTCTCTGCAAGTCTAACAGGACTTAATTGGGAAGAGACGCACCAATACAGTTGTTTTCTGGGTTAAAATAGAGATATTGCCCTAAAATAGATTGTGTTCATGTACACATCGTGCAGAAGGGGCATCATTTTTGAGTTATCAAATTACAAACTGGGTCAGCATTAACACAAAAGTGCTTCAACATTAACACAAAAGTGCTTCAACAATTAAGTCAGCAAAGTACCTAAGTAATTAAAATGTTACTTAGTAATTTAAAAAAGGCCACCTGCTTTAAAATATTTGAGTCCATGCAATGGCATAACTCCCATGCCGGCAATAAAGTCAATCTGACTCTTGACCCCCCCACCCTCTCCAACACAAAACACACACACACAAAGTCACAGAAAGGCTTCTTTTCAGTCATATATGGTGGCAAAGTATCTGTGTAGCAGTTGTTTGGCAAAGGACTACAAAGGACAAAAATATGGAAACGGCAACTATGGCTTAGTTGTTGTTGATGTCACTTTTGCAATTTTTCAAATCTCTCAAAATTGTGGATTATTAGTCTCATGGTATTCACCAGTCTTGTGTAGCTTTGTTTTGTAACTGTTCTCACAGACAAATACGTTGCTGACACACAAGGGAGCTCTTTTTGTTCAAAACCTCGCATTTCTAGTCAAAATTTACCAGTTGATGTTTTGTTCTCTCCAGGAGTTCCACTACCATCCTGTTGGAAGCGATGCCTGCCTGCCATGTGACTGCTATCCCGTTGGCTCATTTTCCAGGTCGTGTGATCAAGAAATGGGCCAGTGCCACTGTAGACCAGGAGTGATTGGTCGCCAATGCAACCAATGCGATAACCCTTTTGCAGAGGTCACACCCAATGGGTGTGAAGGTAAGAGTTGTGCCGACGAGAAACAGAATAGCCAGTTTATAGAAGACAAAGGAGGCAACATTGCAATGTTTCCAATTAATTATTGGAGGCTTAAAGTATTAAGCTTAAAGTATCAATGATTTGATTTTAAGACCTTTTGTGCAATATTAATAATTAACATAGTAGGTTTGATTTAACTATAATGAGAGGCTGGATAGACTGGGGATGTATTCCTTAGAGCAGAGGTTAAAATGATCTGATTGAGATAAAATGATTTAATGTAAAGAAAAGGAATTGACAGTTCAAGAGGTACAAAAAAAGAAGATAAACGTTGACCAGCTTCTTAGTGACTGAAGCCTGAGGTGTCTGACTTCCTTGAAAAGGTGTGCCATTGACACTAATGGAAAATCAGTTTATATCTCTGCAAGTCTATACATGTAAAAGAATGTGTCAAAGTGATAAATTGATTGCAGAAATGCATTATCTATATTCATTTTTCAAAATGTTATCAGAAGTATCTAAACCCCATGTTATTGGACTAAACAACAACAAGATTACATTTGTATAGCACCTTTCAAGTCGGGAGGCGCTGAACAGTGTACAGCATTTAAGACCCGAGCTTGGGTCAGGGAGGGAGAAGGGAGGGGAAGGGGGCTGACCAATGGCATGGTCGAAGAGGCGGGACTTAAAGAGGCTAAGGAGTGGGTGAGGCGGAGTGATTGGGGGATGGAATTCCAGAGGTTGGGGGCAAAGTGGCTGAAGGCTCTCCCGCCAATGGTGAGGCGGGTGGGTCGGGGGACATGGGGCAGGCCAGAGCCGGCTGAGCAGAGGGAGCGGGCAGATTGGTAGGAGGTTAGGAGGTCGCAGAGGTAGGGTGGGGCGAGGCCATGGAGGGCTTTGTAGATGAGGACCAGGAACTTGAACTGGATCCTCTGAAGGATAGGGAGTCAGTGGAGTCGGGCGAGAATGGGGGAGATGGAGTCACAGAGTTTGATGCGGGAGAGGACACGGCCTGCAGAGTTCTGGATTATCTGCAGCCTGTGGAGGGAGGAGTTGGGAAGGCCGACAAGTAGGGCATTTGCATAGTCAAGCCTGGAGGTGGTGAAGGCATGAACAAGAGTTTCGGTGGCCTGAGGGATGAGGTATTGGTGGAGTCGGGCGATGTTACGGAGGTGAGGGAAGGCAGAGCGGGTCATGGCTTGGATGTGGGGAAGAAAAGACAGTTGAGGGTTGAACAAGACACCTAGGTTCCTAACTGGTTGGTGAGTACTCATGATAACACCATGTTTGTGAGCCTCCAGAAGCCACATTATCTGGTTCTTTTTGGACAGTGTATAAGTATACAATATTAGTGTATGTGTTACTGTAACCAAAATGAATGACACAAAAACAGGCCATTCCGTCCAAGTCTGCCATGGCCTGGTGTTTTCTCCACATGAACCACCTAATCTAATTCCACTCACTCCCAGACGTTTTTATACTCTTCTATTTTAATTCCTTTTCAGAATAACACATGGGCTCTTAAACCGCAGTTTATGGAAAAAAATTCTACTTCTTCCCATTGTAAAGATTTATTTTCTAACTTTTGCTGAGATTGGGAACTCAAGATATCTGGAGTTGTGGGCTGCCTGCTGGGATGGGACAGTACATGGGAGCATCAGGAGAGCCTCGGTCTTGTTGACCTTCAACTGAAGAAAGTTAGCTCTCATCCACAACTTGATGTCCGACAGACATTCTGTCAGGACAGCAAGGGTCCTGGAGTTGAGGGTGGAGGCAAAGAGATAGAGTTGGTTGTCATCCGCATACATGTGGAAATTGACCCCATGTCTTCAGATGATGTCACCAAGAGAGAGCATATAGATATTGAAGAGGAAGGGACCAAGGACAGAGCCCTGAAGAACATTGCACAAGACGGTGCGAGGGCTAAAGGAGAAAACATTTGTGGAGATGAAGTGGAGAAAGAGAAAATGAAAGAAAAGTTTTTAATCACGTTTGGTATGATCGCAAATAAGGCCTGCAGTTATTAATAATAACGTTTACTTTTACCCTTGCTCTCTACTTTCATAACAATAATCCTTGCATTTGATATAGCATCTTTAACCTTGGGAGGACATTTCAAAGTGCTTTACAGGATATACTGTTAAGTGTAGTTGGCTTGCTTCAGGTGTCCCACTGGCGGGCGGGCCTTCTTCCACTCTGCCCCCACCCTCTGGAACTCCATCCCGCAGTTCCTCTGCCTCGCCCCCTCCCTTGCCTCCTTCAAGACCCATCTCAAGACCCTTCTCTTCGACCGTGCTTTCAATCACCCTGCTTCCCCCCTGCCCTCCAACTTCCCCAATTCCGACCCCCAGCTCGGGTCCGAAACACTGACTGTCCAACGCCTTGGGATGTCCTCCCGACGTGAAAGGCGCTATACAAATATAATTTTGTTGGTGTTTGTCGGCAAAACAGTAACCAATTTGCAAACAAGCAGTATTTTCGAGAAAGTGTTGATTTTAGAACATTAGTTTGTAATCTTTTATTGTGGTTACAAAGGAACCATGAAAATCCTGCCATCTATCGTATCCCACTTTCATACTGCAGGTCTGCCAGTGACTGTACAGTCGCTGAGGCAGCTACTGGAATGAAAACGTAGCAAATGCTTTAAGGTTGAACTTGTATGAATGTTTCCTCCGAATGGTTGGCAGTACAATTGCTTATTTTGCCTATGTGAAGAACTTTAGGATAATTTTCTCCCCACCACCCCTCGCCACTTCCCAAAATGATAGTAGAGAACCTGAGGAAAAAAGATTGTGAGAAAAGCTGCCTGATATTCAGCAAAGTCAGGAATTATACCCAGGAATTTCACCAGAAAACAGTCATGGAGTTTAATGGCTAATTAGCAGGAAATTCGAGTGTTTTTTCCTGTTAATGTTTTCCTGGATATCAACTGATTTTCTGAAATTCAGATGTCAATACACAAAATAAATGGTACTCCTATTCTCAGAGTTTGGGATTTTAAAAATGAGCAAATGTGCACATCTTTCTTTTTTAAAAACCCAATTTTACAATCTAGTAGTGTCTTACTGGAAGCAAGAAAATAGAGATAATAGAGATTGGAAATAGTAGGATAGCATTACCTGATGTCTAAATATTACTTGTTTTCTCATTGCCTTGTTTACTGCTAATGGCATCAATTCAAAAAGCATACAACAACAACAACAGGATTCCATTTATAGAGCGCCTTTCACGTTGGGAGGACGTCCCAAGGCGCTGTACAGATGGGTCAGGACCCGAGCAGGGGGGAAATGGTCGGGGTGAGGGGAGGGAAGGGAGGGGGCGAGAAGAGGGTAGAGAGTCGAGAGGGGAGCTGAAGGCACGGTCAAAGAGAAAGGTCTTGAGACCGACCTTGAAGGAGGAAAGGGAGGAGGCGGCGAAGGCACTGGGGGATAGAGTTCCAGAGCCTCGGGGCTGAGAGGCTGAAGGCCCGGCCACCGATGGTAGGGCGGTTGGGGCGGGGGATGTGGAGCAGACTGGAGCCAGAGGAACGGAGGGTACGGGCAGATAGGTAGGGGGATAGTAGGTCGGAGAGGTAGGAGGGAGCGAATGGCCTTGTAGGTGAGGATGAGGATCTTGAATTCGATCCTCTGGGGGATGGGGAGCCAGTGGAGGTGAGCGAGGGTGGGAGTGATGTGGTCCCGAAGTCTGGTGCGGGACAGTACACGAGCTGCAGAGTTCTGAATGACCTGCAGTGTGGAGGGAGGGCCGGGAAGGCCGGCGAGGAGAGAGTTCCCATAGTCCAGCCTTGAGGTGATAAAGGCATGGACCAGGGTTTCAGCAGCGTGAGGGGTGAGGTAGTGCCGTAGTCTGGTGATGTTCCGGAGGTGATGGAAGGCAGTGCCAGTTGTGGTGCGGATGTGAGGGAGAAAGGACAGCTCAGGGTCGAACAAAACGCCGAGGTTCCTGACTGGCTTTGAGAGGTGGAGAGTGCATACTGCTGCAGCGGCAGCTAAAGATCAGTTGGCGTCATTATTATTCCTATGTTGAGTGATTATGGGTTGTGTGAGGTAACAATGTGACAGCAGCAAGTAACAAATGAGTTAAGGAAATATTTTCTTTCATAAATTTAATGCCTTTCATCCTATCACTCTTTTGTAGTACTATACGATCGATGCCCCAGATCACTTAGGGCTGGTGTTTGGTGGCCCCGGACTAAATTTGGTCTCCCAGCTGTTGTGCCGTGTCCCAAAGGTTCTCTAGGTGAGTGTTACCTGTCTTATTTATTACTAGTTTTTAACTTTTCAGGCAAAATAATCCAATGGCCAATTCAGTCAGTTTCACAAATGGATTATAATTGGCAGAACATTGTACATTTAAACTGAGACCTGACAAGCAATTATCTCTTATGTTGGGTTGATGGCATCCAAGAGTTCTTTGCTAATTTTTCAACTCAGCAACAATCATTTTCAAAAGATGTAAAAAGCCTCAAAACACAAGGTTTTCTTCCCATCTGCAGAAATACAAAAGGAAGGAGCTTTATTGCTGTATTGGGCTACAATTGAACTATGCTGGGACCAAGGTCCTAGCGGAAAGGATAAACTGTAGAAAGGGATTTAAACCAGTAATGGGGGGGGGGGGGAGAGGGTTCACGTAGAGTTAACAGTAAACCAAAGATAAGAATAATAAGAGATAAGAGCAAAGGTCAGAGTTCAAAACAACAAATAAGCAAAATTACATTTGTATCGCACCTTTCACATCAGGAGGATGTCCCAAAAAGTGATAAAGGAAACATAAATATGCCAAGAAGAAAAAGGGTTAAAGGAGGTAAACACAAAAAGTGTGACAAAGACCGTCAGGGCGTATGGGGAGGGTGAGGACAGTTACCTGAATAAGTGTCTCTTTACACAATGTAGCATAAGAAATAAAACAAGTGAGTTAGAAGCACCAATTCATCTTAAAGCTTGTGATGTAGTAGCCATTAAGGAGACCTGGCTACAAGCTGGGCATGACTGGGAGCTAAATATTCCAGGCTATAAGATCTTCAGAAACGACAGGGAAATTGGGAAAGGAGGAGGAGAAGCAGTATTGATAAAAGACACAATTACAGTAGTAGAAAGAATGGATTTTAGTAAGGGTGATCAGGCCGTGGAAACATTATGGATAGAATTAAGGAACAGCAAAGGAGGGAGTGGGAGTTGTCTACAGACCTCCAGACAGTAGTAGTGTAGAAGGGGTATAGTAATAATAATAATAATAATAATCCTTGCAATTGATATAGGGCTTTTCACGTGAAATTAGGAGGTACTTTTTCACCCAAAGATTAATGGAAATCTGGAACTCTCCCCCCAAAAGGCTGTGGATGCTGGATCCGTTGAAGTTTTCAAGACTGAGGTGGATAGATATTTGTTAGGTCAGGGTATCAAGGAGTATGAGGCAAAGGCAAGTAATTGGAGTTGAGGTACAGATAAGCCATGGTCTTATACAATGGCGGAACAGGCTCGAAGGGCTGAACGTCAGAACAGACTTGAGGGGCTCCTGTTCCTATGTTTGTATAACTACCCCTGAATTAACTTCACCATTTTGGCCTGGAACACAGCGAAAATAAATGAAAAAGGAGCCTGTCCCTTTAAGAAGCTTTAAGATGTCACATCGTCCATGTGCTGTTTCATTTCCTGGCTATCTGTATAAGGGTGTCTCCATGTTAATCAGCATGGTTTATCCACAACAACAAAAATGCTTCACTTAGGGTAAACTTTCACAAATTCAGACTTAAGCATAAAATATTAACTTAGCGGTGATGACAGCAAAATTGAAGCCATAGTTGATCAGTCTCTGTAACTAGGCTGTGGTGTAGATATACCACAGTGGAACGTTTTATGTTCAAAATAAGTGCTAGTTAGGCCTCCCAGTTAGCTGTGTGAAGCTCTTTGAGGCATCCTCCCAATGTAAAAGGCGCTATATAAATGTAAATTATTGTTGTCACTCTCACTCTGCTTCTTTTTGTCTAACAATTTCCTTTCTTGTTCCCCATTTTGTGGTTATTCTTTCTTGCTCTTTATGCATATGTTTTTGGACAGAAATTGACAGCACAGAAGGTCATCCGGCCCATGATGTATGTGCTGGCTCTTTAAAGGAGTAATTCATTAATCCTATTTACCTGCCTTCCCCGTACTCATGCAGATTACTCCTTTTTGGACATCTTGTTCAATATACTTTTAAACTAGGCTCCTCATCAGAAACGCTCTTTACAATAATTAATGCTCCTGTCCAATAGAACTTTTACAAAACTTCTCTCCCGCTTTTACAACACTCTTTAAAACATTCAACTGTACTTTGGTCAACATCCTTTAATCTCCCTTTTCCGTGTTCATTGCTCTGTTACGGATGCTGAGTACTTCAAGAAGCTCTTCTTATTCAATCTTCAGTAAGTATTTATTGTAGATTTTGGAGAAGCTCACTGATGGAGACACTTCTGTACCTAACTTAGCTACTCTACTCACTGCTGGAATGTTTTGCTTGGCTTGGTAGGGTCATTGTTTTAATATTTTTTTCTCTCTCACTCTTTCTGTCTCTCTTTGTGTCCAGTATCTATGTTGCATTTTGAATTTTGTCTATTTTCAGGGACTGTGATTCGACACTGTGATGAGGAACACGGCTGGTTGGAACCTGATCTCTTTAACTGTACGTCTCCACTATTCACCCAGCTGGCAGAGACAGTAAGTATTCAGCAGGACTACCTTAGCTGTGTGTTTAAACCTCTAAAACTGTGCTGAACATTGAATTTCCTGGTAATAGACTCCAAATGGCTTACAGGTAAACGTGCAGCAACATTGTTATTGTTGTTCATCCTGCGATCTGAATAGTGAATCATTTGAACTTGAACTGACAATCAATGTTTGAGGGAAGACAAGGTCAAATAGTCAATACCTGGAAATTGAACAGACTGATATAAAAACCTCTGTCAACTGGAACCTCTGCAGTTGGTTAATTAGGCATGTTTATATGAAACTTAAATTTAACAAACTTGTACTAGAGCATCTTATCACTCAAAATGTCTCAAAAGAGTTTTATAGTAATTACTGTTAAGTGTAGTGACTACTTTTGGAGACCTATTTGGCAACACTTTGCCCATAAGCACCCATGAGGTGATTGACCAATTTACCCTTTCGGATTATTGGCCAGGACACCGAGAGAAACTGCTCTTTTCATGGGATTGGATAGGCAGACAAGACTTTGATCAAACATCTCATCTAAAGGACAGTATCACTGACATTGTACATCTCCTTCCCAATATTCACTGATGTGTCAGCCTCTCAACTCAAATCCCGATGTGAGAGGCTAGCTACCAACTGAGCTAGCCTGACACCTAAATCTTAGAGTGATGCTGATGGATTTCAAAAAGCAGCTCTGAGATAAATATTTGGTTTTCTCAAAATGTAAATTCTCAAATTAAGTGGTGCTGGCTGCCACTTGATTTGTATTCACTGGATTATTTGTACCATTAAACATTGGGGAACGTGTGCAATTGGAATGGAAACTCAATTACAGTTGGTGTGCTGCAGTTATTGTACCATTAGGTTCTATGGAGCCCACTTTTCTGCTTCACACCTTAGAGCTGCCTTGTGCTGCTGTAGATTCCATTGGCTGGTCGCTCTCCTGGTTCATTGTGAATATTGCCAAGATATTTAACCATCAGATTTGAGCTTGAATCTTCCCTCACCATGATTGTGTGAACACAAGGAATTTCAGCCCACGATATTGCAGGGAAACTCAAGTTAAAGTGACTCTGTAATATAAACACCTTTGGAAGCCTATGAAAGCCATTGCATACATAAACATGATTGAAGAGGTATTACAGTGGTTTATAAACACAGATACTGTGGAGGTTTATAAACACAGATACTGTGGATTTCTGAATAGATATTATTCACTAAATCCAATATGACAAGTATTTTCTGTTAATGACTGAAGCCCTTTTGCGTTTGTAATCATTCGTATGTATTCCCAGACCAGAAATGCAGGAAGCATCACATCAAGTCCAATCCTGTACACACTTTACCACAGGGTAATTTAATAGCAATCAGGAGCAAAAAGCTGGGATGATTATCACCTCCATAAACCAGGCCACTGTAGTTCCAACTGCCAACTCAGCACAATTCAAACCAATTCACTCACTTATTTCACACTGCAGATTTACTATCTGAGACAATAGGGATCAATGATTTACAGTTAATTAATAATCATTGGTATTTGCTGTATTTTGCCCCCTAGTAGTTCTGTACGTTTTAATCAGTGTGTTGAGACTGCCTTACATTGCTTTACATGGATAGTCTTCTCCCATGAAACAATGTGCTTTGCAGTGGAGAGTATTTATGTAGTAGAGTGATGAGAACTGCCAAGCCTTGGCCAATAGGGAAGACAAGGTCAAATAGTCAAGGCTGTTGATGACTTGATGACATGACTTCCAACAGTTGTCCACCGAGTCAAGAACAATTTAATCCATACATATCAGTGGTATAGCCTCCCTTTGTGTTTCTGTTAAAAGCTGGAAAGACTGGAAAGGAACAAAACTGAACTGAACACTATTGAGGCAAAGAAGCTTGTGCGCAATTTGCGAACCATCACTGAGCAGATGGATCACTACTTTGGAAATGACATCCACATCACATATCACCTTCTCCTAAAGATGCTGGAGTTTGAGTGCATACAACGTGGGTTTAACTTGACAGCGACACAGGATATCCACTTTACAGAGGTAAGAGCTGATAGGTGTATGGTACATACAGGGTTAAAAAAAGCAATTCACTAATGTCTCATTCTGTTTGTGTACGTGTATGCCAACTGATGTGCATAAATAGTGCACAGTGGATCAAAGTGTGAGTGGGTTTGGGATGCTGTCAAATATCCTGTCAACACTCACTGTCAAGACTCACACATAAATAATGGCCTTTGGATGAGTGACTCACAGAACTGCATGACAAAGAATAAAGGATTCAAACATCATCATGAGAACATGAAGGAAGAAAAGTTGGCAGTATTTTTTTTAAAAAAGACACTTCAGTCCCATGCAGTTCTGTATATTTCTGTGTGTGTCTCAGCTCCTGTGCGCATGTCAGAGAGAGACCATCAGTTCCTCTTATTTGGTGCTCATTATGGAAATCAGTTGCCAATCCTGATCATTCCCAATTGGAGCCATGAAGCAATGTCACCTGAACAACAACAGCAACATTACAGTTATAGAGTGCCTTTCACGTCGGGAGGACATTCCCAATGCACTGAATAGTCAGGTGTCGGGACCCAAGTATGGGGGAGGGTTGTAGGGATGAGGGAAGGCAGAGAGGTGGGAGGGTGACCGAAGGCACGATCGAAGAGAAGGGTCTTGAGACCGGCCTTGAAGGATGCAAGGGAAGAAGCGAGGTGAAGGGACTGTGGGATGGAGTTCCAGAGTTGCGGGCAAAGAGGCTGAAAGCCCGGCCATCGATGGTAGGGCAGGTCGGGTGGGAGACATGGAGCAGACCGGACCCCACTGAATGGAGGGAGCGGGCAGGTTGGTAGGGAGTCAGCAGGTCAGAGAGGTAGGAGATGGAAAGGCCATGGATGGCCTTGAAAATGAGGACGAGGATGTTGAACTCGATCCTCTGGGGGATGGGGAGCCAGTGGAGTTGGGGAGTGATGAGGGTCGGAGCCTGGTGCGTGAGAGTACACGAGCTGCAGAGTTTTGGATGATCTGCAGCCTGTGAAGGGAAGAGTTGGGAAGGCCGATGAGGAGGGAGTTTCTGTACTCGAGTCTTGATGTGATGAATGTGTGGATAAGGGTTTCGGCAGCCTGAGGAGTGAGGCAGTGGCGGAGTCTGGCAATGTTGCAGAGGTGGTGGTAAGCAGTGCCCATCATGGCGCGGATGTGGGTGAGAAAGGACAGTTCAGGGTCAAACAAGTCACCCAGGTTCCTGACTGGCTGAGTGAGATTGAGTGTGCAACCGTGGAGGCTGATGTTGCCAGTGCCCGAAGTGCGGAGGCGCTGGTGCGAGCCGATCAGGAGGGCCTCGGTCTTGCTGGGGTTCCAGAAAACATGTGATCATATAAATGATGTTTGATTTTAATAACCTTCACACGGGGAGCGGCAGCAGGACAGCGCGGGGAGGAGCCTGGGCCTACCTACCCAGGTATTTAAGCTCGAGGTGGCAGGGAGTGCAGCTAGTGGGGCTGAGGAGGGAACGGGTGGGGGCGGAGCGGGGGAACCCCTGACGTCATAGTTTAGTTTTCAGGAGTGTGTGCGCGCAAAAAAAAAAAAAACCTCTGCGCCCCCCACCCCCCAGGGCTCACATCAGAGCCCACCATGGTCCTGTTGGGTTGGCTGCCCCAGCCTATGGGATAATGCCATCCACCTGACCGCTCGCTCCCGGTCCCCGCGTGTGCACTATGGCTGATGCTTTGACCCAAGCCTCCTCACCCCCTCCCTCCCTCCTCTCTACCCCCCTCCTCCCCCCTCTGCATCTCTCCCGCTCTGTCCTCCTCTCTCTCCATCCCTCTCGCCTTCTATCCCCACTTGACCCTCCCACAACCTCCCTCTGTTCCAGCCTCGGAATCCTCCGCCGGCCGGGCTCACCGTGGCACTCGGCGTTGGCTGTCCAGCAGCAGCTACACCGACTGCCCCATTCCCCACCACACTCGCCAGCCACCCCGGACACAGACCCGGGGAACCAACCTCTCCTCCCTCATCCCCATTTCCCCCACCCCTGCCTCACAACCTGGACCCCCCTCCCCTCCCACAAACCCTTCTGTCAACCGCTCCCTCCACGTTAGACTACAAAACGTCCGCTCCCTCTGTAACAAGGCCCTGGTCATCAACGATCTCATCCTTGATGAGAGCGTTGACATCATGGCCTTAACAGAAACCTGGCTCACCCCAGGCGACACCTTCCCCCTCACGGAGGCCACACCACCCGGCTACACCTCCCACCACATCCCTCGCCCCAACCGCCGTGGCGGTGGTGTAGCCCTTATCTCAAGGACACCACTTGCCCTATCCCCCTACTCCTCTGGCTCTTTCCCCTCTTTCGAGCACCTCACCCTCTCCCACCCCTCCTTCCTCTCCCTCAAAATCCTCCTCCTCTAGCGGCCCCCTAAAACCTCTCCCACCTTCATCTCTGATATTTCGACACTTCTTACATCTCTCTGCCTCTGCTATGATCGCCTCATCATCCTGGGCGACTTCAACCTGCACTTCACCCCCTCCTGCTCCATCTCCTCAGACTTCTCTTCCCTGCTCTCCTCACTCAACCTCTCCTTACACATAAACTCCCCCACTCACAGTCACGGCCACCCACTCGATTTGGTGATCACCCGGGGCCTCAGTGTCTCGGATGTCACTATCACCGACAAGGCCGTCTCCGACCACCACTTCATCTCCTTCACCACCTCCACCCCCTCCCCATCTCCACCAGACCCACCACCATCTTCTACCGCCCCTGGAAGAAGTTACCCCCACAATCCCTAACCGCTGCCTTGAAGTCCTCTGAACTCCTCTCCCTCTGGCCTTCAACCCTCACTGACCCCTCTTCTCCTCTTACCCTCCTCCACAACACCCTCTCCTCCACACTCGACACTCTTGCCCCCATCACCTCACGTACTGTCTCCTACTTTTGCTCCTCCCCGGTTCACCACCCACCTCCACTCACTGAAGAAACAGGTGCGGGCCGCTGAACGCACCTGCGTCAAATCTTGCCTAACGGTCCACCGACAAATCTGGCTGGACCTCCTCAAAATCTACCGCTCCACTTTAGCCTCGGTCAAGTCGTCCTTCTACTCCAGGATAATCCTGGAGGCGAAGAACAACCCCAGGCTACTATTTTCGACCACATCCCGACTCCTCCGTCCCCCCCGCCACCCCGCGCAGGTCATCTCCTCCAACCTTCACTGCGAGGAGATGCTGGATTTCCTTGAATCCAAAATCAACTGCCACCATCACTCCCACCTTGAAAGAAACCCTACCTTGATGCGTCGCAGCTATCAAGTTACCGGCCCATCTCCAACTTCTCCTTCCTGTTCAAGTCTCCTCGCCGGCCTTCCCGGCACCTCCCTCCACAAGCTGCAGGTCATTCAAAACTCTGCAGCTCGTGTACTGTCCCGCACCAGACTTCGGGACCACATCACTCCCACCCTCGCTCGCCTCCACTGGCTTCCCATCCCCCAGAGGATCGAATTCAAGATCCTCATCCTCACCTACAAGGCCATTCACGGCCTTGCTCCCTCCTACCTCTCCAACCTACTATCCCCCTACCTACCTGCCCGTACCCTTCGTTCCTCTGGCTCCGGTCTGCTCCACATCCCCCGCCCCAACCGCCCTACCATCGGTGGCCGGGCCTTCAGCCTCTCAGCCCTAGGCTCTGGAACTCCATCCCCCAGTGCCTTCGCCGCTTCCTCCCTTTCCTCCTTCAAGGCCGGTCTCAAGACCTTTCTCTTTGACCGTGCATTCAGTTCCCCTCTCGACTCTCTACCCCCTCCTCGCTCCCTTCCTTCCCTCCCCTCACCCTGACCATTTCTCCCCTGCTCGGGTCCTGACCCAACTGTACAGCGTCTTGGGACGTCCTCCCAACGTGAAAGACGCTCTATAAATGGAATCTTGTTGTTGTTGTTCAAACTATTTCTTTCAACATGTTTGCTACTTTAAGCATTAATCAGGTTTTAATTAAATGAATGACTTTTTTAATTTACCTATCCGAAAGCGAGGAGATTAAATCAAACAACTAGTTTTATACTCCTGGGACTGAGTGCACAGTATGCCTTCAAAACCCTTTGAAGGGTTTGAATATAATCTTAAAATTGGAAATGGTTAGAAGTGAGATTAGGAAACATTTCTTCACACAGGGTTGTGAAACTATGGAGTGCACAGCTCCAGAAGGCTGAAGAGACAGGATTAATTGAGATGTTTAAAAAGGAGATAGAGAGAGAGAGACACACAGAGACAAACAGACCCATTCAGACATACATATACAAGGATACCCACCCATACATGCATATTCACGCACGCATGCATGTATACGTACACACATGTGCACATGCATATATCCATACAACCATACACCCATTACATTCATACATACACCAATAACAGACAGATAGACAGACATACATACACACAAACACATCCATACATACCATACATTTGAAGTAAGATTAATAAGAAGAAAATGTGATTAAAAGATCTAGCATGATCTAAAAACCTTGCAGAACAGGCTGAATGGCTATTTAGGCTCAATCCAGTTCCTCTGTTCCTCTTATTTAGCATAGCCACAGGATAGCAGATGGTTCAGATAATGAAGACTCTTTGGCCCACACAACCATCTTCCTATTACAACATCAATCCATTTCTTAAATAATGCCAGTGGTTTGGTCTCAATGCAGTTCCTGGTAACTTGTTCATGTTTGTTCATAACTTGTTCATTATCCACTGTGCACCTCCCATAGTCCATCAGTGGTCTGTCACAGCCCTGAACCTCAGCCCTCCTGCCTTGCCGCCTTGGGATAGCTGGATTAATAATTTTTTTTTGTGAATTTGGAATGGGCTACACATACTGAATCACAGGTAAATGGGGTGTAAATAAATGACTTAGTCAAAAAAAGGACGATGATCTGGAAATACATAATATAGCATGTGATATGAAGGAGTTAGGTGTTGATCACATTGCATTAGTTTTATGGGTTACAAAGCAATTATCAGTGATGAAGGCCCAATCTCCATTTACAATTCCTAGAATCTGCTGAAAACAGGAAGTGCTGCTCTGAATCCTGAAAACAAGGACCACTGGAGTATTTTACAGCAGGCAGATCGAGGGACCGCTCATTTGATGGAGCAGCTGGAAAAATATGCCGGAACACTGGCCGGAAATATGAAACTGACCTATCTGAATCCGATAGCCGTTGTAACTCCTAATATCAGTGAGTATCTATTCAACCTGACAATGTGTTGCGGTTTGGAAGATGGAGGATTACACTTTCGGTTCAAATAATAATAATCCTTACATTTGCTGTGCGCAATTGGCTGCCGCGTTTCGCCCACAGATATAGTCAATTCACTTTACAGCATATTCTGTGAAGCGCCTTGAGACGTCTAGAAGACGTGAACAGCGCTATATCAAATGCAAGGATTATTATTATTGTTATTATTTGGAATAGCACTTTTCATGTAAGGAGGCCTGTTTTGTAGGCGAACAGAGAGCCATTATGAGCACTGCAATTTCCCGCAAAAAGCCATGAAGCATATGACCAATAATATTTAGAAACAGAAGTAGACCATTCAGCCTGTTCCACCATTCTATAAGATCATGGCTGATCTGTACCTCAAGTCCTTGCCCCGTGTCCCTTAATACCCTGACCTAACAAATATCTATCCACCTCAGTCTTGTCGATGTGAGTGGATCTAGCATCCACAGCCTTTTGGGGGAGAGAGTTCCAGAATTCCACTACCCTTTGGGTGAAAAACTGCCTCTTAATTTTACTCCTAAATGGCTTGCTCTAATGTTAAGATTATGCCCCCTTGTTCTGGATTCCTTCACCAGAGGAAATATTTCTCTGTATCTGCCCTATCAAATCCTTTATTATTTTTTAAAAATCTCAATCAGATCATCCCTCAACCTTCTAAACTCAAGGTAATACAAACCAAGTTTATGCAACCTGTCCTCATAATCTAACCCTTTTAGCCCTAGTATCATACTGGTTAATCTGCATTGCACCACTCGAGAGGCAATGTATCCTTCCTGAGGTGCGCTGCCCAAAACTGAACGCAGTCTCCAGATGGGGTCTGACCAAGACTCTATATAGTTGAAGCATCATTTCCTCTCCTTTATAATCCAGCCCCCTTGAGATGAAGGCCAACATCCCATTAGCCTTTTTGATAACTTGTTGTACCTTTGAGCTTGTTTTTCGTGATTTGTGTACGTGATCACCCAAATCCCTTTGTTCCTCCACAATTCTTAGTTTCTTACCATTTAGAAAATATTCTGTTTTGCTATTTTTGGATCCAATCCATAGTGGATGACCTCACACTTCCCCACATTGAATTCCATCTGCTACAGTTTTGCTCACTCACTTAATCTATCCAAGTCCCTTTGTAAATTCCTGCTCCCATCTACACAATTTACTGTGCCTTTACAGTTTGTGTCATCTGCAAATTTTGATATTAAACTCTATTCATTCATCCATGCCATTTTATATATATATATATATATATATATATATGGTGAAAAGCAGAATCCCTAATACAGACTCCTGGGAAACATCACTTATCATGTCCCGCCAATCAGAGAATGTTCCTTTTATTCCTACTCTTTGTTTCCTGCCTCCCAATAAATTACGTCGCAAGTTTACCTCCGATTTCATGCGCTTTTATTATTGCTAATAACCTCTTGTGACGAACCTTATCAAATGCCTTCTGGAAGTCCATGGAGACAACATCCATAGACACTCTCTTATCCACCATGTTACTGACCTCCTCAAAAAAATTCTCCAAGGGCACAATTCCCAAATATAGAGAGCTTTGAAAAATTATGACTAAAGCACCTGCAATTTCCTCACCTACTTCTTTTCATACCCTGGGGTGGAATCTATCAAGTCCTGGAGATTTGCCTATCTTTAGTCTCATTATTTTCTCTATTACCATTAAATTCATATTAAGTCCATCTAGTACTTCTCTTCGGCTTATTTTTGGATCCATAGTGGATCCTTGTACTGCTGGTATTTTGTCCTCTTCCTCTACTGTGAAAACAGAAGAAAATGTTTCATTCAACAAGCCTGCCATTTCCTTATTGTCCATTATAGTCTCACCTACATCTCTTTAATGGGCCCACATTCCCTTTTACCGCTCTCTTTCTGTTAATATATTTATAAAAACTTTTACTGTTGCAGTTGATGTCCTTTGAAATTTTTTTCTCATATTCCCTTTTTGCATCTCTTATTTTCTTTGCATCTCTTTGTTGCTTTTTATAAGTCTCCCAGTCTGCTGGATATCCCTTTTACTTGCATTAGTGTAAGACTTTTCTTTTCGTTTGATACTGCCTCTTACCTCATTTGCTGACCATGATTGTTGAACTACACAAGTCAAGCTTTTCTATTTTAGGGTATGTACTGGTTTTGTATTGTAACAAATTCTTCTTTGAATGCTGCATGTCCGTGGGTTTACGCATTAACAGTTCAGCCCAATTTACCGTAGTTAATTTATTTCTCCCTCTGACTCGGGGTCAGACTCCGCCACTGTCAAATGCTCCATGATGCTATCCTGTGTAGAGGGCGCTATATAAATGCAAGTTCTTGTTGTATGGTCACTTATCATCAGATTGTTAACTAATTCCAGTTTGTTACGCATCACCAAACCTAGTATGGCATGTTCCCTTGTCGGTTCTAAAACATATTGTTTCAGAAAACTGTCCTGAATACATTCTAGAAATTCATTGCCTTGCCTACTTGAGCTACAACAACAACAACAACAAGATTCCATTTATAAAGCGCCTTTCACGCTAAATGGAAGCTATTCTGCTTCTCTCAGTCTATGTGGAAAATTAAAATCTCCCATTACAACCACATTGCTTTTGCCACATGCTTCTCTGATCTCTGTATTTATATATCCCCCCACCCTCACTACTGTCTAGAGATCTATAGATAACTCCCACCAGAGTCTTACCTCCTTTGCTGTTCCTTAATTCTACCCATAGTGTTTCCACGCCCTGATCATCCTCACTGAAACTCTTTCTTTCTACTGCTTTAATTGTCTTTTATCAATGTTGCTACTCCTCTTTTCCCAATGTCCCTGTCCTTTCTAAAGATCTTATAGCCTGGAATCCCAATCATGCTCAGCGTGTAGCCAGGTCTCTGTAATGGCTATTACATCATAACCTTTACGGTGAATTTGTGCTTCTAACTACTTGTTTTAATTTTTATGCTACGTGCATTCATGTACAGAACACTTTGGGTGATTATTGCCCAGGACACCAGGAGAGAGAAAACTTCCCTCTCTTTTCGAATAGTGCTGTGATGTTTATCTGAGAGGCAGACGGGCCTAAGTTTAGTGTTTCATCCGAAGGACGGCTCAATCCACTTGTGGCACTGCATTGGACTGTCAACCTAGATTTGAGTTCAAAATCTTTGTGTGAGGTTTAATTCTATAATCTTCTGACTCAGAGGCAGGAATGCTACCAACTGAGCCAGGCTGACACACTTAGTTCAATATTTTGAAAATGTAATCAAAGTAGCAAAACAGGAAAATATGTCTGGGTCAGATGGATGTGGATTTAAACACAACATCAGGAATTGGATGGATGCAATTCTGCAATGTCTGCTTCTTTTCAGGCAGATATTAAAAATCCCTTTGCGTTACTCAAAAGAAGAATAGAGTTTTTTCCTGTGTCATGAACTCATAGCCAACAGTACTCTAGATATTTTGGTCATTCACCTCACAACTGTTTTTGAGAATTGCTGACACAAATGGCTGCCTACACAAGATATCACTAACTTGACAGTAATTACTTGTGAAGTGCTTTGAAGTGTTTTGATGTGATAAGGCCCTATAAAAATTTCCAAACAGCAAAACTACATGAACATATATGTGTAGTGGTGGGAAATTAAAGAAGATCATCCAAATAACCTTGAATTGGCCTGCTCACCTTGAGTCCCTATTACTACAAACAATGAGCTCCCAATTTCACATTGTGCCAGCAAGCGAAGCTACCAATATTCAGATATCAGAAGGGTATTTCAAAATTCATTTTACTAACTAGCTTGGAGAAGGAACTAATGTGTTTAGGAATTTTACAATTTTGCCCCCCCAAAAAGCTTAACGCAGTTCAAACTGCATTTACCATTTGGTTTATCACAGTCCTGCTCTTTGAATCCCCTTAAATCTCCTGCCTGTTAAATACTTTTCTATTTCAGTGATGACTATTGACCGGGTAGAGAATTACACCATCAGCAGCATCAGAAAAAAGCGGTTTCCTCAATACCACAGTGGGCTCTTCCGTGGCCTGACTATGTGGGACACACAGACGCACATTGTATTTCCAACATCAGTTTTATTTCCTTCAAAAGTTCGAGGTAAGTGACAATGGCAGGCCTGATTGTCCTTGAATCTCCATAGACAGCCTACATCAGCGAGTGTCAGTGCGATGCTTGCCTTGTATTCCCTCCTCATCCAACATCACATTAGTTGCTATGTGTGTGTCTCCATAGAAATATTTAATTCATTTCTAATGCATCTCATTTTGTAAAGAGCTTTGAGATATTTATTTTACAAGAAAGACCCTATATAAATAATCGTTAATGTCATAAAGAATGAATTGGCATAATTTTATTCAGAACATGTAGGGGTGAATCAGTGGAAATACAGAGAGAGTGTGTGTGTGAGGAATTGTGTATGTGAAAGGGCGTGCATGTGTGAGAGGGCGTTTTTGTTTGTGTGAGAAAGTGTAAGCATGCGTGTGAGAGAGGGTGGGGGTGCATGCTTGTGTGTGAGGTACCGGATTTGTGAATGTGCTAGAGAGATGGTGTGCATGTGGTAGAGATGGGGATGTGTGTCTGTGAGTGAGTGACAGAAGGCTGTGTGTGATGCTGCATCTACCTCCAACAGCATCCTTTTGTCTTTGCAGTTGAAAAAACGGAAAGCACGATCCAGATGCTGAATGAAACTAATGAAATTCTGCACCAACAAATGTTGCCGGAGCCTGAACCCACTGTGACCATTCTGATCCTCCTTATTTACCGCACGCTGGGCAGCCTACTTCCTGCACACTACAACACTGACCGCCGAAATGTGAGGTAGGAACACAACAGTTCATCTCTGTTTGGGTTAAGATTAATGTTTTGGATGAGTTCACTAGACAGAAGCGTTGTTCCTTATCTGACTTCTCAATTACTTTTATTTTAACCTCAGTCCGATCGCCTTTTAATCTGTGTGTCAGCGTGGCTCATTTGGTAACACTCTCGTCTCTAACTCAAAAGATTGTGGGTTCAAGCCCCAAGTCGGGACTTGGAACTTATATAGTCTAAGCTGACAATCCATTGGAGTGCTGTAGGGGACCTCCAGTGACAGAGGTGCCATCCTTGCTAGTAAACGTAGAGAAGAGGTACAAATAAACACCCAAAATTAGATGTATTTTTGTGACAGTAAAAAAAATATATGTAGGGTTTTCTGTCTTAACAAGCTTGTTGAGCACATGTACACACAGCGTCCACTGACTTCACATAGCGTATGCTGACCTCACATAGCGTACACTGACCGTGCACTAATCACACTCAGTGTAGACTAACTGTAAACAGTGTAGACCTACCAACTTTCGTCCTCCAATTTCTTTGGCACGAGGCATGAATCTTAATTCTAACACAAGATTTATAAATGTACAGATATGTTTGGCCAAATAACTCAAAAAATTATGTGATTTCTAGTATGGCAGCTCATTTCTTTCCATGGTAGATTGAACAGACATTCATTCATAGTTAGCTGAACATAAGCTATGAAGATACTCCCTGTCTTTGGAAATCACTGAAACTTGTGTACAAAAGGTTTGACTTAATGCAAGGAACTCCTTTATTTGGTTGTTCTTATTTGCAACCATAGTGGATTGTTCAGTGGTTAATTGGTAGACACTTTTGGAGCAATTGCACCTGTTGTTTATTTTAATGCACACTGTCACAACATTCATTTTGAAACTATTGACAGATACTCTCACACATTCCCCATTGTTTGAAAAGATGTGGTTAATTATGACTTTTACATGCTGTAATGGGTGAGGTCATTGTTAACGTTTGGAAGGAGATGATTACATCTAAGTTTATAGCTTCCAACAAAGTGAGATGTGGTTGCATTATAAATCGTTTTTCACTATTTCAAAATGTATTTTGTCCTCTTATGTCACGTATAGGTAAAGGGAGAGATACCTAAGGACATGCATCCCTCGCTCCCGGTTGACAGGGTTCAGAAAGGCAATCCGGGAGATTAATGAGTTGCTTAGCTGCTTTGGAAAACTCACTCGCTCACCGCCTTCAGGGCTTCTGCTTTCTAGCCATTATTTACTGTCAGATTCTATGGATTTTTCACCACACAACTTTCTATGTAAAACCTTGTGCACTAACTGTCAATGTGTTGCCACCAGAATATCTATCCCAATGTGCCTAAACTTCACTTTTACTGTTCTGTATCACTGCTCATTGACTATTTTATTTTTATGTGATGCAATATTATACACATTGCATTACAGTCATTTGTACAAAAAAAAATGGTTTTAAGAGTACCTTAATTTTTCTTCCAACTCTCTGTAGCAAAACACATTCCTCCCTCATTTTGCCCTTTCCGTCCCAATACAATGAAAGATGCCAATTTGATCTGTTTGTTATTTTGAATTCTAGACTTCCGAAGCATCCTGTGATGAACTCTCCGATCGTGACCATCTCCATCTTCAGCAACAATACCTTCCTTCAGGGAGTTTTAGACTCGCCATTGACTTTGGAGTTCCGCCTGCTGGAGACTGTCAATCGCAGCAAACCTGTGTGTGTCCAGTGGAATCACTCTAGCCTGTGAGTGCACTGAACGTTTGGTCTAACGGCAGACAAAGGAAGTAGCAATGAATCTCTTACATACAAAGTCTTCCCTGCACTATTCAGGAACAACTAAATAAGCTTCAGCCTTAAAAAAGAGGTATCAGAGCAGGACTGTATAAGGTCAGGTCAAGGCAGCAGGTCAAGAGAGTACAAGTGTCGTGGAATACTGCAGCACTGCCTAGAAGAAGTTCACCTCAACTCCCTTACATTGGCATTTGAATTTTTTTCCGTTAATCAGATAACAGTTTAATGGAAGAGTTCTGCCTTTCAAATGAGACAGTAAATCGAGATCCCATTTGTCTGTAAAAGTGAACATTAAGTATTCCCATGGCACTCTTTGAAAAGAGAGGGGAATTTTTCCTGACTAACAATGCCCCTTCCCCCCCCCCCCCGATTACATTTATTTGATGGATGTTATGTTTGTGGGGTGTTGCTATTTACAAATTGGCTGCTGTGCTTGCTTATAAATACCAAACCACTGCACTTTCTAATCCTGTGGACCTTCTCAAAAAAGAAACATTTAGTGGATTATTTATTTGAACAGTAACGTAAAGCATGTGATGGTGGAGCCATTTACCACCATGCACCATGCGCCTGGGGTATATTCCAACCCATTGGATCTCATTAAATCGCCAATAATCTGATGTAATAAAGTGGACCTTTCATTATTTTATGTCATAATGAAAAGACTGAGTGAAATATTTAAAATTTGGAGTGCACAATTGTGATCAGATCACTGTTAAAACAATTCCAAAGTTACAATTCTCCATCACCCAATCGGTGTGTTGCACCGACTGAGGGCTCCTCTTTTGCTTCATCTGAGTCTGCTATAGATTATCAAGCACGGTGATGAGTTTATGCCTGTGTCAGCACGTGACCATAAACAACAACAACTTGCATTTACATAGTGACCTTCACCCGGGGTAGCTACCCAGAACACTTGTCAGTGGCCAAGTCTGACAATGAGCCAGGCGGAGGTGACTGTAAGCACAAACAAAAAGGAAGGTCTTTAGTCAGGATTTGAAGGTGGGGAGGGAGGGGGCAAGGCGAAGAGATTGAGGGAGAGAGTTCCAGAGTTTTGGGGTGTAGTGGTTGAAGGCACGGCGACCGATGGTGGAGAGGAGGATTGAGGGGACAGAGACAGCCGAGCGGAGGCAGTGGTAAGCAGGTCGGATAGGTAGGGAGGTGTCAGGGCATTAAGGAATGGGAAAATGAGTGAGAGGATCTTGAAATCCATCCGTTCCTTAATTGGGAGCCAGTGGAGACTGGCAAGGACTGATGTGATGGGGGTATGGAATTTTATGCGGGTGAATATCCGGGTGGCCGAGTTTTGAATTAATTGTATTTTATGTATGGTGGAGCTGGGGAGACCAGCGAAGAGGGCATTCGAATAGTCCAGCCGGGATGTGACAAAGGCATGGACAAGGGTTTTGTCTGCTGTGAATATGGGGTACGGAAGAAGGCGAGGAATGTGGCGGAGGTGGAAAAAAGTGGTCCTGATCAGGGAAGAGATGTGTGGTAGAAGCTGGAGAATCGAACCTGACCTAAATTGCGTCAGCTTCAGAGAGTGAGGGGGATCCTGGAGAGGTTCAAGAGTTCAGACCCGCAGGGGAGAAGACGTTGATGGGAGCCAAAAAGTACGGCTTCCGTACTGCCGACATTCAGCTGCAGGAAATTTGCACTTATCTTGGCCTTGATGTCTGTCAAACAAGCTGACAGGACATCAGCGGACTGGGAGTCACAGCTGGAGGAGAAGTTGATTTGGATGTCATCTGCATACATATAGAAGTTGACCCCATGTCTGCAGATGACATCGCTGAGAGGGAGCATGTAGACAAGGAAAAGAAGGGGGCCAAGGATGGAAGCATGTGAGTGTGGCCCCACTAAGATGGATGCCGGAGGAAAAGCGGTGGAGGAGGATGCCGTGATTGTCGAACACAGTGGAGAGGTCAGAATAACATAGAGGCAGAGGGAGGCCTGGTCACAGAAAGAAAGGACGTCATTTGTTTCTTTGACAAGTGCTATCTCTGCTGTGGGCAGGATGAAAATCCACCATAGAATATTGTGGGGGTTCTGCTTGATAGCTCTTTAGCCTATTTCTTTCCCTGGGCAATCAATTAATATTTATGATTAATATATAATAGAATATAAGTAGCTTTTCATTGCCTACTTTAGGTATATTGATATTCTCTTACAGATCATTTCTTGTAAATAATAGCTGCTAACTTAATAATATTACAGTTTCAAACCCTACACTATTCTCCTGTGTTGAGCATTATTTTGATGGATTTTTAAAATAATCTACCAGTAGATTATATCCATGACAGAGTCACTGAATTAACACTGTTGTTGTGTTGCAGTTTGGAACCAACTGGTACCTGGACAGCAAAGGATTGTGACCTTGTTCACAGAAACACAACACATGTCCGATGTCAGTGTTCACAAATTGGCACATTTGGGGTTCTAATGGACAGCTCCCATCGTGAGGTAAGAGTCAGATGTTGAGAATATGAATGAATACACATACAACTGTGATCATAAATGACAAGAGGATTGCAGGATCAAATCCTGTTCTGTGCTGGGTTAGTTGCTCTCAATCAGAGCAGAGGTTATGGCAATAATTGTCTTCAGTGCCCCTGGGTAGTGAAGGGGATATATTGCCAAGGTACCCACTCTTGATTGATAGCCAGAGACTCTGCTGGAGGTGCATGTGTGGATGTCTGTAGAATCGAGCTGGGATATGATTCCCTTGCAGTTGAATAGTCTGCCAACACTCCCTGTCAGAAATTGCAAATGAATAATTTCCACTTGGGAAAGGAACTGAAGGGTATGCCATATAGCTGTACCTCAGCAAAAGGAAATAGTCAAAGTACCTTCAGAAGAGAAGGAAAACTGCACCAATTGAATTTAAGGACAGAAAATGTAATGGAATAATTCTGTCTGATCGGTGAATATACCTGTATTTGTCATGAAGTGAGGAAGAATCCTAAACCCCACATTTTGAGTCACTCAGCATCATGCAAGTGAGCAAGTTATGTACAAATGCAATGGTTTGAAAGATTTTAAATGATGTACTGCCCTCACAGCCAGATGCACTGCAACACCCTGATATCAGAATGCTGTCTATGTGCTCAGTTATATATGAGCAGAATTCTGACATTTCAACAGCCTTATCTTAATGTGCCTCAAATATCTCCACAATATTCCTTTGTGTATGGCAGTAGAAATAGATCAGGGAGATAACAGGAGAGTTCCAATGCAGATGTTCCATTCAGATGAGCGGGCTTCAAAGAATCATAAAATTATACAGCACAGAAGGAGATCATTCGGCCCATCGTGTCCGTGTTGGCTCTTTGAAAGAACTATCCAAATTACTCCCACTCCTCCGCTCTCTCCCCATAACCCTGCAAATTTGTCCTCCCCGAATATCTTATCTACTTCTCTCTTAAAAGTTGTTATCGAATCAGCTTCCACTGCCCTTTCAGGCAATGCATCCCAGATCCAAACAACTCGCAGTGTGAAATATTATTTTTGCTTGATGAGCATTCTTTTCACATTGTCTTCCTCCTCTTCCCTCCCCCATACCCCTGAAGCAACTGGAAGGAGACTTGGAGACTCTGGCAATTGTCACCTACTCAACTATCTCGATTTCTCTTGCGGCACTGCTTCTCACTTTCTTTATTCTGGCCTGCCTGAAAGGACCGAAATCCAACACTCGTGGAATTCACTGCAATATCGTCGCAGCCATCTTCTGTTCGGAGCTCGTCTTCCTGTTGGGAATTAATCAAACAGAAAACCAGGTAAGTGAATGCTGAGAATCCATCCTCAGTTATCGCACTTCATGTCAAAGCTTTCATACGGCAGTACTCCTAATCCTACACCCCCATGAATAACTCACTGTGTAACTGACTATTCAGCATGCTGAGGCTGATTTACTGCATAACTGATGCAGTACCTACAGCTTTTCTTTTTTTACTCGTGAAGCACATATCCTGCCTAGGTTACAGGTTCTCAGAAATGTGTAACAGCAACAACAACTTGCATTTATATAGCACCCTTCACGCGGGTGGTAGTGTTCCAGAGCTTCACAGTGGTGGATTCTGATGCTGAACCAGGGGGAGAGGGAAGGGGGAAGTGACTGTAACCATGATCAAAAAGGAAGGTCTTTAGAGGAGATTTGATGGTGGGGAGTGGGGCAGGACAGTCAGGGATTTTGACCCGAGCAGATGGGGTTGGGATCACGGAGGGTGGAAGGCAGGAAGGTGGCCGAAGCCGCGGTCGAAGCGAAAGGTCTTGAGACATGCCTGAAGGAGGCAATGGAGGGAGCGAGGCGAAGGGAATGCGGGATGGAATTCCAAAGGGTGGGGGCAGAGAGGCTGGGAGCCCGACCGCCGATGGTGGGGTTGGCTGGGTAGGAGATGTGGAGCAGGCCAGAGCCTGCTGAGTGGACAGGTTAATATGGGGTCAGCAGGTCACAGGTATGAGGAGGCATGGCCGTGGAGGGCCTTGAAAGTGAGGAAGAGGATTTTGAATTCTATCCTCTGGGGGATGAAGAGCCAAGACTTGATGTCTAAACAGACATTCTGTGGTCCTAGAGTTGAGGGTGGAGGAGGATAGAGTGGTCAACAGTATCAAAGGCAGCAGAGAAGTCAAGGAAGATGAGGAGACAGAGGGAGTCCTGGTCATAGATGGACAGAATATAATTTGTCGCTTTCACCATGGCTGTTTCTAGTAAAACATAGCATAATATCTCTTCTGTCACAAAGTGCAAAGTTGGCTGTAGCAACAGAGAATTGACGGTGTTCCACAAAACGTGGAATGATGAAGCCCAACAAGAGTAAATGAAACAAGAAATTGCATGAAGGCTGCAACCCAATTTCAGAGTTCAGGTGTTGAGATAATTTACTTATGCTTCACTCACATAGAGCATGATGTGATTTGAACCCCCGTCAGTGTATTGCAACTTATTCTATTCAACTAAGACTAACCCTGGAAGAGCTGAGGCTGTGAAATAAGGAAGATCTCTATGATACAGCGGCCAAGCCACCTGCCCTGGATGATGAATTCTGGATCCATTATTCTTACCCTGATGAAATTGTTTCTACATTCTGTACTTAACCAATAACAGATTAAATTTACCGTCTTCACTTCGTCTCAACGAATGGCTTCTCCTCCACCCCCCGTACTGTCTCATGTGGTGTCCCTCAGGGCTCTGTCCTCGGTCCCCTCCTCTTCACCCTCTATATGCTCCCCCTTGGTGACATCATCCGCAAACATGGGGTTAACTTCCACATGTATGCGGATGACACCCAACTCTACCTTTCCTCCTCTACTCTCAACTCCACGACCACCGATGTCCTGACAGCCTGCCTGTCCGACATCGAGTCCTGGACGAGAGACAACTTTCTTCAGCTCAACGTGCAAAAAACCGAGGCCCTCCTGATTGGCTCACGTCAGCGCCTCCGCACCTCAGGCGCTGACACCATCAGCATCCAAGGCTGCACTCTCCACCTCTCAAAGCCAGTCAGGAACCTCGGCGTTTTGTTCGACCCTGAGCTGTCCTTTCTCCCTCACATCCGCACCACAACTGGCACCGCCTTCCATCACCTCCGGAATATCGCCAGATTACGGCACTACCTCACCCCTCACGCTGCTGAAACCCTGGTTCACGCCTTTGTCACCTCAAGGCTGGACTATGGGAACTCTCTCCTCGCCGGCCTTCCCGCCACCTCCCTCCACAAGCTGCAGGTCATTCAGAACTCTGCAGCTCGTGTACTGTCCCGCACCAGGCTTCGGGACCACATCACTCCCACCCTCGCTCGCCTCCACTGGCTCCCCATCCCCCAGAGGATTGATTTCAAGATCCTCATCCTCACCTACAAGGCCATTCACGGCCTTGCTCCCTCCTACCTCTCCAACCTACTATCCCCCTACCTACCTGCCCGTACCCTCCGTTCCTCTGGCTCCGGTCTGCTCCACGTCCCCCGCCCCAACCGCCCTACTATCGGTGGTCGGGCCTTCAGCCTCTCAGCCCCGAGGCTCTGGAACTCCATCCCCCAGTGCCTTCGCCTTGCTTCCTCCCTTTCCTCCTTCAAGGCCGGTCTCAAAACCTTTCTCTTTGACCGTGCCTTCAGCTCCCCTCTCGACTCTCTTCCTCCTCCTCGCTCCCTCCCTTCCCTCCCCTCACCCTGACCATTTCCCCCTCCTCTCTCCCTCCCTTCCCTCCCCTCACCCTGACCATTTCCCCCCTGCTCGGGTCATGACCCAACTGTGCAGCGCCTTGGGACGTCCTCCTGACGTGAAAGGCGCTCTATAAATGGAATCTTGTTGTTGTTGTTGTTGTGTAATTCTGACCAGCTGGGCTTCCTAGTCCTGAAGCATCTCCTGCAACGATTTGGTTAAACAGAGAGGCTTGAGCTCCTGTAGTCACTGCTTCATCATATTCATATTACAGCCTCAAGACATGCATAGCTGTGTTCATCTTGAGGAAAGGTACCATTAATGAGGACCAGCTGGTTTGACAGCTTTTTAACAATACCATATGGATTAGAAAAAGGTCATTTTTCCATATGAGCTGACTGGAATCGTCGACTGAATTAGCAGTCTTGCAACTAATAGAGGATAAGAAGTGTCCAAGTGTTATATATGTAGATAGGACATTTGGCAAGGAGTATCAAGGGAAGAGATGACTGGGAAAAATTTGTACGATGTGATGGACAGGAATTTACAAGTAAGCAATGCAATCGAGCAGATCTGATATTATCATTTGCTCTTAAATCATTTTTGAATGGCAGCAGAAGCACAAGATTGAATTATTCCACTTTAATTCACAGCCAATATTTATTCTGTATCATTTGCAGTTCAGTTTTAAACAGAACATTTTGGGGTGTGGATATTTTTCTCCAATGAGTGAACTGAAAACACTCACAGAAAAGGGACACTGCATAAAAGAAACAAGTGTGGTTTGTGGGTTACTCCTGCAATGTTTATGTCAGACAGGCAATCATCAAACAGTGGGAAAGCAGTGGGCTTACTATATAGCTCCTATGGGGAATTTGCATTAGTCAAGATCGTAGCACTTAATACGATTTATGCAAAGTCTGAGTTATAGGCAAACTTGTATAAGTGTATAAAATCCGATTTAATTAATAATTACACTGTGTACATGTAATTCAATTTAGCCAGTAAGTGTGCATGCAGTAGTTTGTCACTGGAGCAGGTATGTGGGCATACGTGCGGTGACGTGTCAAGACTACGATTCAATGCGTAGTCAAGCATTGCAATCGCATTGATTCGTGGGAAATGTAGTTCTTCTGCACACATGGTGAAATATCAAGGTTTGTACTGATTGTCAGAATTCTCCCCCCAGTTTCTCTGCACGGTGATTGCCATTTTGCTGCACTACTTTTTTATGGCGACCTTTGCCTGGATCTTTGTGGAAGGACTTCACATCTACCGTATGCAGACTGAAGCTCGCAACATCAACTATGGCGCCATGAGGTTCTATTATGCCATTGGCTGGGGAGTCCCTGCCATTATTACAGGTTGGCATCAGTGACACATATAGGGATAGGCTGGTAGGATATGTTGTAATCAGCAAAAAGGATGATAGTTCACTCACACTTGATATTATAAGCTTGTTTGGGTATCTGCTTTTGTAAATGTATAGTGTACAATGCATAAAAGAGAGGCATCCACTCACGTAACATTATTCTGTGCTTGGGTACACGTTGCCAATTCTGTAACTTTATACATAATGTATTTAGAAAATGTAATTATTTGTATGATTCTTTTTTAAATACAAAATCTTATGGGAGAAAGGCAACATGGGTCTAGATTTAGTTTTTGTAGCGTAAAAATTTAATCCTTACATTTGATAAAGCACCTTATCGCTTCATCAAGATGTCTCCAAGTTCTTCACTGTAAACTATAGTGACTGCATAGTATCCAAAATGTGGTCAATTAATGAATTCAGTCTTTGAAGTTGATTGCCTGTAGTTCTTAAAAGAAACTTACAAAAAACTGTCATCCTGCTTACCTATAACTGGAGTGTATTTGGCATAGGTTGATAAGAGCCAAGGCTTGGGGATTTCAGAGTGCACATTGGGGCGCTGCAGGTGCTTTAACAGCTAAAACAACATAGCTTGCCTTTGAAAACATTGTCTGGCAACCTTCCAGTTATCTTTGCTTGTCCAGCTAGGACCACCCTACATGTTAGGGCTTTGGTCATTCACTTTATCGTTGGTTTGGAACATGGTTGTGTGCAATTTACAGCTGAGTTTGCCTGTAAACCCTGTGAAGCACTTTGAGACATCTTGACAATGTAAAAGGTGCTATGTCAAATGCAATGATAATTATCATGTACAATGCTGTAGAAGTGAATATTTTTGCACTTTTTTGCCATTAACATCCAAGAGAGATTCTGATTTTATTTTCCTCCCTGTGGCAGGCTAATGGCTTTGTCGGCAGTTTTGTACGATGCAAAGATGTGGACCTCACCTTGTGTCCTTTGTTTGTCTGTCTCTGGTTTCTTCCTGTTCTCTTCTTCAGGGCTGGCAGTGGGCCTTGACCCCGAGGGCTATGGTAATCCTGACTTCTGCTGGATCTCCGTTCATGACAAGCTGATCTGGAGCTTTGCAGGGCCAATCGCTGTTGTTATCTTGGTAAACATAGGTTTTTTTTTAGGTTTTGCAAAATCCTAGCGTATATTTTGGAGATTGGACTAAAATATTAACTGGCCATAAAATAATAATTAAATACACGCAACACCTCAATTTAAAGTATGATCCAATGTCCATGCTTCTTGTTATTTCACTCACAAAACACTAGCCACTACACTTTACAGGGTAAACCCTGTGAAGCGCTTTGAGACGTCCTTCTGATACGAGTGAAAAAAAGCTGTAAACCAGGCACCCATCTTGCTTACCTACATCTGGAGAGTATTCATCGCAGGTTGATAAGAGCCAAGGCTCTCTTTATTCATGCTGGTTGTAGCTCACTGCTTTTGCCAGTTTAATGTATTTTTCACCCTTTTTGCCACACTTCCATGAACCCTAAATCCATCTCAAAACCCTAATGATATTAGTGTTAATGGGGCTACTGATTCTTTACTATTGATTATTACTCTCCTTGCTTTGAGCCCATATGAGAGTGATGCAAAGCTACACATGTTACTCCAATCTATCAATCACAGGCATTGCATCAAATCCCGTGTGTTAAAACCACTCCCATTTGTGTCTGCACGTTTCTGCTCTTACAGATGTGAGAGTGGTTTCCTTCTATCAAGCTTCCTTCACCACCAATGAATTGTAAATAGCTAAAAAGATTCACTGAGAAAATAAGTAAGGTCTACTTTCTCAGTGGTCTTTTGATTTGCACAGTAGGTGTACTGTTCATTATTTGAGCTCATAGTATACCTCTTCCCCTGGGCCACCAAGTCCCTTATCCATGCTTTCATCACATCTAGACTTGACTATGCTGATGCCCTGCGTGCTGGACTTCCCAGCTTTTCCCTGCACAGGTTGCTGACTGTCCAGAAAATCTATGGGCAATCCATCACCCATCAGATAGAATTCAAGATGCTTGTTCTCAACTTCCATTCCTTCCACAATCTCACTCCATCCTATCTACGCAACCTCCATTTGCTCAGTAAACTCTCTCTGACTGGCTCCTTCTCTCACTTCATTCAAGCTCTTTGATCTGGCTTATGAGCAATGATATCACCCACGCACCTCAAGGCTAGATTACGGGAACTCCCTCCTCATCGGCCTTCTGAACTCTTCCCTTCACAAGCTGCAGATCATCCCAAACTCTGCAGCTTGTGTACTCTCACGCACCAGGCTCTGCGACCCCATCACTCCCACCCTCGCCCGACTCCATTGGCTCCCCATCCCATAGAGGATCGAGTTCAAGTTCCTCGTCCTCACCTTCAAGGCCATCCATGGCCTTGCCCCCTCCTACCTCTCTGGCCTGCTGACTTCCTAACATCCTGCCCACTCCCTCCGCTCATCAGGCTCTGGCCTGCTCCATGTCTCCCGCCCGACCCGCCCTACCATTGGTGGCCGAGCTTTTGGCCTCTCTGCCTCCGCAGTCTGGAACTGCATCCCACGGTCCCTTCGCCTCGCTTCCTCCCTTGCCTCCTTCAAGGCCGATTTCAAGACCCTTCTCTTTGACCGTGCCTTTGGTCTCCCTCCCACCTGCCTTCCTTCCCTCACTCCTACACCACCCCATGCTCGGGTCCCAACATCTAACTGTTTAGCGCTTTGTAATGTCCTCCCGACGTGAAAGGCGCTCTATAAATAGGAGTTACAGAATGAATTGTAAGTAGCTAAAATATTCACTAAGAAAATAGGTAAATTCTACTTTCTCAGTGGTCTTTTGATTTGCACAGTAGGTGTACTGTTCATTATTTGAGCTCATAGTATACCTCTTCCCCTGGCCCATGAAGACCCTCCTCCATGCCTTCATCACGTCCAGATGATCCAAAGGATCATGTTTCTCTTTCTTACGCCCCTCAGTTTCAACTCCCATCTCAGATTGCCATTGTCATCTATATGTTGTTCCACCTCCACATCTCCTCTCCACTGCTCCATTGAGAACTGTTTGTGAGCTGCTGAATTTCACTCTTAATGTTTGGATCTTTCAGATGAATGCTGTGATGTTCCTGCTGGTGGCAAAAATGTCCTGCGCCCCGACACGGAAGGAAACAAAGAAGAAATTCATGCTGTAAGTCAGAAATAAACAGAATGTGAATTCAATTCATAACTTTTAATTTCAATCCTCTCCTCAATGGCTTCCCCAACTCTACCATGCACAAGCTCAAACTTACAAACTCCACTGCCCATCACTATCCTCGCCAGCTTTCACTGTCTCCCTATCCTCCCAGTAGATCTTTTCTACCATCGACAAATCCTTTTACAACCTCGCTCAACTCATATAAGGGGAGCAACATAGCAAAACATCAATGCCATTCCACAAAAACAAAGATCAATTCTTAGATTTGTAATACCTCTACGATCTTCTCCAGTTCCCTTACCTGCTCGACCTCTGCACGCTGAAAATTCAGGCTTTCTGTGTGTTCACTGTCTTCTCTGTTCCACTATTGATGTCCAAGATGTCAGCAACTATGTCCCCACGCTCTCCCTACCTCAATCCTTTTGTTTTGCCCCCTTTCTGTTTGTCTTCAAAATTCACCTAAAACGTACCTCTTCGGATGCGCCTCCATTTCCTGCCCTCCCCACCCCCCATCCCTACTTGATGTCAGAATACCACTGTTAACACCTTAATGCTTAACGCTGTTGCAATAACGTGCTCAGAGATGTTATTCTTCATAAAGGACACCACAAATGCAAATTGTTGTATTTCAATGAAAATAACAATTTCTGTATTTGTTAAAATATAACTAATATTTTGTACTGTTGTTTGGAGAGAACCTAACTTGTTATGGAATACTGTAACCTCCTATTAACTCATCACTCCAAAGGAAAAGAGCTCAGTGACAAGTTATCTGGAGTGACGAGTTGGTATATGTATAAATATATAATTAAATGCGGCCGGGATAGTGACAGCAAGATGATTTAAGTGGCAGTCACAAGTTAAGCCAGGGTTGAGTTATCAGGAGTGTACTGATATTGCTATATTTTTTCAAATTATTTTTTCGAGCCTAACATACTTAAATCCTCTCAATCCATATGTCCTGTCAATCTGCACTAAACTCATTGTCTGGTGTTTGTATAATGGTGTGCCCAGAGCTATATACAAATTTATCATTGTTGATAATAGTTTTTGTATGGTATTAAATGCCACTTTATATCTAAAATGTAGAATCCTATTTACTTTGTTATAGTCTTTTCAACATGCACTCCAGGACGTATCTATCTGCACCCATAGATTTCTCTTCCTCAATATCATTGCACTGCAAAAAGCAAGTGGAACAAAGGCTTGTGGCCACCAATGAGCTGCCTCATTTAGCACTTTCAACAACCTGTTTTAACACCAAACAAACTCTCAGATGTATCAACTGTTTTATATCGCACTATTTTACTGTGAAACAATTTTACACTCTTATACTATTTGAATGAAACACTCCAGACAGAAGCAATTTGCCAGAGGTTTCAGCAAAAAATATAAAATCATCACCGAGAAATTGGAATATCAGTATTAAATGAACGTTTTGCAATAAGCATAATTTAATCCTCCACTGAGCCTGGTCGATAAGAACTCTTTGCCATTAAAGCATTATTCAATCACAACTGCCAGAGGAGGGAAATATACTGTTGCAAAAAACAATAACAGAGGTCATTTTTATAGTATCCTTCGTGCTGGGTAGTGTCTCAGAGCTCTTAACAGTGACTCCAAACAGGAGGGATGGAGTAGGAGACCGTAGGCACGGGCGAAGAGGAAGGTCTTCAGGCTTGATCTGAAAATGAGGAATGAGGGGGCAAGGCAGAGGGATTGAGGGAGAGAGTTCCAAAGTTTTGGGGTGTGGTGGAGTAAAATAGACAAGGAACAAGCAGGAGGCAAACCAATGAGTTAACAAATATATCAACACTAAGATAAACCAAGTGTTCTGTTACATTGAGAAATGTAAAGGGAACTGTTTTTAATGGAATGGCTTTGATGTTTTGCTGTGAACTGAACTATGGAGAGATGCCCCAGTGCACCCATACACGGCAGACCAACGAAGCTCCATCCTTCTTATCATTCTTATACTCGTTTCCGCTCCCAAAAGTGCATCCTTTTCACAAGCCTATATTTTGCAATGCTCTCAATAAAGAAAATACGCTTCATTATTGTTTTCCTCCATGGATCCAAGTTTTTTTTTAATTTAGCAGGTATACTGTCTAGTGGCAGGTACACTGTTTTGTTTCCTTGTCGGTCTTACTGTGTAGCTTCTTTCTGATTCTCTCTCTCCAGTACCACAGTACGAAGCGCCTTTACTCTACTGCTTATCGTCAGTGCCACCTGGCTTTTGGGGCTGATGGCTGTCAACAACAGCATCCTTGCTTTTCACTACCTCTACACTGTTCTGTGCTGTTTTCAGGTAAAGAATCACTCACTAACTCCCCACTCTCTACATATTCTAGAATGACAAACTTTTCCCCATTGTTCCAGCATGTTGGAGTGATTAGACATTAGCTGTACTGCAAATGCAATCCACAATAAGTTTGAAATTGCAATTAAAATAGGTCTTGAACACTATAACTGTAACTGGAGAAAATTTGCTGCAACTTAAGCAGCATTTTCTGCATGAAATTTTTTGCATGCCATGTGGCTTCACAAGAGTGACTGAGTGACATATTCATGTACTTTAATAACTTAATAATAGCAACAACAAAATTATATTTGTATAGCGCCTTTCATGTCGGGAGGATATCCTAAGGTGCTGGACAATCAGTATTCTGGACTGGAGCTGGGGGTTGGGATCAGGGAGGGTGGGGGCAGGGGGGAAGGAGGGTGACCGACGGCACGGGTGAAGAGGAGGGTCTTGAGATGGGTCTTGAAGGAGGCAAGGGAGGAGCGAGGTGGAGGGACTGCAGGATGGAGGGTGAGGGCAGAGTAGCAGAAGGCCCGCCCACCCACCAATGGTGGAGCAGAAAAGATGGGGGACGTGAAGCAGGCCGGACCCCGCTGAGGAGGGAGCGGGCAGGTTGGTAGGGTGTTAGGAAGTTGCAGAGGTTGGGGGAGCAAGGCCATGGAGGACTTTGAAAGTGAGGGCCAGGATCTTGAATTGTATCCTCTGTGTGATGGGAAGCCAGTGGAGTCAGGCGAGGGTGGGGATGAGCCTGGTGGAGCCTGGTGCGGGAGAGGATGCGGCTGCAGCGTTCTGGATGGTCTGCAGCTTATGAAAGGAGGAGTTGGGGAGGCCGACAATAGGGAGTTTGTAGTTGAGCCTGGATGTTTATGAATGCGTGTATGAGAATCTCGGCGCCCTGCAGTGTGAGATAATGGTGGAGCCGAACAATGTTGCAGAGGTGTGCGAAGGCAGAGCGGGTCATGGCACGGATGTGGAGTATGAAGGACAGTTGAGGGTCGAACAGGACGCCGAGGTTCCATATTGGCTCTGTGAGATGTAGAGTGCATCCATGGAGGGAGATGCTGTCAGCGCTCAAGGTATGTAGGCTTTGACGGGAGCTAAGCAGGAAGGCTTAATAATAGACAGTCATACATGTAGACAGGCACTGGTACACTGACTATAACATACTGTAATAAAGACATAATAAATGACAGATTGTGTGTATGTTTCTGCTCTTGTCTCCTGCAGGCTCTGGCTGTCCTGGTGCTGTTCTGTGTCCTGAATGAAGAAGTACAAGAAGCCTGGAAACCAGCTTGTCTTGGGAAAAAGAGTCAGGGTGACGATGCAACCCGAGCACCTCAGCCTTCGGTAATGACCTGTTTTTGGTAGTGAGGTCAGCCTAGTAACTAAGAACAATATTAAACTCTTAAGTTACTGCTGATTACACCAATAAAGTTTCAATATTTATACATTTTTATTGTTTACCCTCCTTTGAGGGCATGTGTCCACAACATTATGCCCTACCTTTCTTCACGTGGGTGCCCTCAGGCTGTGCACTTCCTGCAGCTGAGAGTGGGATAGCAGCTTTCTGCGAATGATACATTTGACCAATAGTCAGGAGGCCCACTATTGCAGTTCCTCTTTTTCCTTCTGAGGAAAAAGGTGTTAAGCACAGCCCACGGTACTGCCTGAAAGAACATTTGTGTTATTACATCTGTAACTAAAATAACAGCATGGTAGGAGAGGTGGCACTTTGAAGCTTTAAATTGACACTTAAAGCATTCATTGAAGGCAATATTATAGATACACCTACCTGTAGCACTGTCCTTCCAGGTTTCATTAAGACTTTCATAATAGCATTTTTTAACAGTATTCTCAATTATCATCCACTTTTGCTCTCTAGGACAGAACATATCTCTCATCAGAAATACAAACTGATATGTTCTTGCCTGTTAGGTGTGAATGGCATTTTAGGGTTTATATCTTCCCCCTCATCCCCACCTCATACCAATAATTGGTATTGACGCAGACACAGGTTGTTCAGACATTGCGGCAGCTGGTAACTACAGAAGAGGACTCCAGACCATGATGAAACTGGACACATCTTACTAAATCCTATATGAAAGCCCAGAGGCACCAGTCAGACTATTTCTACAGTTAATAGGTGCAATTCTTAGTTATTATATCACATATATTTCCCAAACTGGACTGAACATTACAGATCTCTTACTTTCAGGAATAAAGGTCTATTTGTTACAAAAAGATAAAGTTCCTTTATTCCAGTTAAAGAATGTGATTGATTGAATGTGTGCAGATTTTGCATTGCGGGTGCCTGCTAGGGATTTGTACTTTATTGATCTTTGTGTTTAGGAAAAATTATGTTTGGATATACCTCATAACAACATGTCATACCAGCATTGTATTTCATGAGATTTGTGCTATTGCAATCATTCCATTACAAGAACATGGATTTTTACGGCACCTCATCACTTAGAAATGTCTCAAAGTGCTTTATATAGGTGTAGTGACCATTTTTGAGGCAATTGTGGCAGAGCATAACTCGATCCCACAAACAGCCATGAGGTTAATAATCAATTTATATGAAAGAATGTCTTAATCTTTTGAAAATAGTGGGATCATGGGATCATTTAACATCCACCAGAGGACAGGCCAACAGGATGTAGTCTCTCATTCAAAGAGCACATTACCAAAGAAACATTGCTCTCTCTCTACCTTCCCCTCTCTCTCTTTCACCTCCAGCCCGACGAGCTTAAGGCCCAAATTAGGGCCTGAATTCATAACCATTTGACTCAGAATACTACTATCTGAGCCAAGCTGACACCCATTCCCACAATATGTAATGTGTATACTCCACCTCAAGTTGCCAGTGCAGAACAACAACAACAATATTCCATTTATAGAGCGCCTTTCACGTCGGGAGGACGTCCCAAGAACCTTGGTGACCCTCAGCTGTCCTTCAAGCCCTGGAACCATAGTAGTAATAATAATAATAATAATAATGCTTGTATTTGATATAGCGCTTTTTATGTCTTCTAGATGTCTCAAAGTGCTTCACAGAATATGCTGTAAAGTGAATTGACCATATATTTGTGGGCGAAACGTGGCAGCCAATTGCGCAGAGCAGTGTCCTACAAACAGTCGTGGATTGAAAATGACCAATTTATTATTGTTTTGGAAGGATTATTATTCGGCGTGTGAAGTAAGGAAAATTGCCCAAGGTTTCGCCCTGACTGGAATTGAATCCAGGTGTCTCGCTTGCAAGGCGAGTGCTCTAACCACTGAGCTACAGGACTCCACAGTAATTTGAGCACAGAAGAAGGCCATTTTCTAAATGGTCCCATGGTGCTGGCACTATCGTGTCTATGTTAGCTCGTTCAAGAGCAATCCTTTTAGTCCCATTTACCTGCTCTTTTTCAATAACTATAGCTTATTCCCTTTTAGGTATTTATTTATCTCTGTTCTGAAAGCTACAACAACAACAAAATTACATTTGTAAAGTGCCTTTCACATCGGGAGGATCTCCCATGTAGAAGGAGCTACAATGGACTCTCACTCACTTGGCTTTATCTCACTTTCAAAACATTGCCCGCTCCACCACTATCTCTCTTCCGGACTGCCAAGATCCTCAGCCTCTCCTTCATCACATCCAGACTCAATTATTCCAATGTTCTATTTGGTGGATCCCCCCCCCAACTCCGTCCTACGTCCTACATCTGTCCCCATTCCCTTAAAAACTGCCACCATCACGCCCACCCTGAAAAAACCCTCCCTTGATGCGTCGCAGCTATCAAGCTACCGGCCCATCTCCAACCTCCCCTTTCTCTCCAAGGTCCTGAAAAGAGTTGTCGCTTCCCAACTGCGCTCTTTCCTTTCCACCCATTCACTTTTCGAACCCCTTCAGTCAGGTTTCCGTGCTGCCCATAGCACAGAAACTGCCCTGGTCAAGGTCACCAATGATATCCTGACCATCTGTGACCAGGGCTCCCTCTGCCTCCTCGTCCTCCTCGACCTATCGGCAGCATTCGATACAGTCGACCACGCTATCCTACTCCACCGCTTGTCCTCCCACCTCAACCTTCAAGGCACTGTCCTTGAGTGGTTTAGGTCGTACCTTTCTCACCGTCTTCACTTTGTCTCCACAAATGGCTTCTCCTCCACTCCCCGTACTGTCTCATGTGGTGTCCCTCAGGGCTCTGTCCTCGGTCCCCTCCTCTTCACCCTCTATATGCTCCCCCTCGGTGACATCATCCTCAGACATGGAGTTAACTTCCACATGTATGCGGATGACACCCAACTCTACCTTTCCTCCTCTACTCTCAACTCCACGACCACCGATGTCCTGACAGCCTGCCTGTCCGACATCGAGTCCTGGACGAGAGACAACTTCAGCTCAACGTGCGAAAAACCGAGGACCTCCTGATTGGCTCGCATCAGCGCCTCTGCACCTCAGGCGCCGACACCATCAGCATCCAAGGCTGCACTCTCCACCTCTCAAAGCCAGTCAGGAACCTCGGCGTTTTGTTCGACCCTGAGCTGTCCTTTCTCCCTCACATCCACACCACAACTGGCACTGCCTTCCATCACCTCCGGAACATCGCCAGACTACGGCACTACCTCACCCCTCACGCTGCTGAAACCCTGGTCCACGCCTTTGTCACCTCAAGGCTGGACTATGGGAACTCTCTCCTCGCCGGCCTTCCCGCCACCTCCCTCCACACTGCAGGTCATTCAGAACTCTGCAGCTCGTGTACTGTCCCGCACCAGGCTTCGGGACCACATCACTCCCACCCTCGCTCGCCTCCACTGGCTCCCCATCCCCCAGAGGATTGATTTCAAGATCCTCACCTATAAGGCCATCCACGGCCTTGCTCCCTCCTACCTCTCTGACCTACTATCCCCCTACCTACCTGCCCGTACCCTCCGTTCCTCCAGCTCCGGTCTGCTCCACGTCCCCCGCCCCAATCGCCCTACCATCGGTGGTCGGGCCTTCAGCCTCTCAGCCCCTAGGCTCTGGAACTCTATCCCCCAGTGCCTTCGCCGCTTCCTCCCTCTCCTCCTTCAAGGCCGGTCTCAAAACCTTTCTCTTTGACCGAGCCTTCAGCTCCCCTCTCGACTCTCTTCCCCCACCTCGCTCCCTCCCTTCCCTCCCCTCACCCTGACCATTTCCCCCCCTGCTCGGGTCCTGACCCAACTGTGCAGCGCCTTGGGACGTCCTCCTGACGTGAAAGGCGCTTTATAAATGGAATCTTGTTGTTGTTGTAAGCGGTATCCAGATCTCTGCAGCTGTAACCTGTTCCACACCAGGCATCACAAGCCCATCATTCCCAACCTCGCTCAGCTCCAGTGGCATCCCATTCCCTAGTGGATCAAATCTGAGATCCTCATTCTCACATTCCTCCATGGCCTCGCCCCTGCAACATCCTACAACCCTTCCAACCCAGCTACTGCCTCTGTTCAGCAAAAACTAGTCTGCTTCGTGCTCCCCACCCGCCTGATCCTCCCCATCATTGATGTGTAAGAATCCTTACATTTGACATATTGTCTTATCACGTCATCGAGATGTGTCAAAGCACAGGATATACTGTAAAGTGGATTGACTATGTTTGTGGGTGAATAGCCATTCTGTGTCCATTCTCTGAAACTCCATATTGGAGTCCCTCTGCACGTCCCTTCCTATTTTTAAAAAGCTCACCTGAAGACCAATCTTTTAGCCTATGCTTTCGCTCACCTTTCTTTCTCCCACCAATCAGCTATGTGAAGCACTTTAAGACATCCTCTGGACATGTAAGGTGCTGAACAAATGTAAATTGATGTTGATAACACAGTGTGGTGGTGCTAAACTGATAGCCTTCTGATGAGGATTGGTGGTCTAGCATTCTATCCCGTGACCCCTCACTGTCTGCGTGGGACCATATTCTAGAATGACAGACTATTGTTCCACATGATGGAGTGATCAAACTTTAGCTGTGCTATAAATGCAATCCAGAATATTCAGAATTTTCCGTGAGGGAGAGTCATTGTGCTTTAATTTTACACATATAATACAATACTCTCCCTGAATACTAATCTAATTAATGTTCTTGCTCATCTTTCTAGGGTCCTCACCAATATAATAACACATCACTGTTTGAGGAGAGTGGACTGCACCGAATAACACTTGGAACATCAACAATATCGTCAGTAAGCACTGCCCGATCTGCACGGGCTAACTCCAGCCAGCCTGGCTACCTCAGGTATGCTGTCACAAGGACACGCATTAAACTGATAAATGCAGAAGCTTTGGGAGAGTTTATGGAGAAATTAATATAGTTCATAAGAGAGGTTCCTATGAAGGTCCATTGGCGCATTTGAATCATCCCTACACAATCCTGACTCCTGGCTTCCTATTGCAGTGTCAAGCTATTTCTTAAATACCTCTTAATGATATGGCCTCAACCAACCGTCCCTGAAATTCAATTCCAACTGTTGATTATCTTTGGTATAAATAAATTACTTCCTCAGATTGTGAAGTTGTTTATTTTAAGATAGACTCATGGCTCTCTTGTCCTGCTGCCATGGTATCTGAAAATATTGTTTAAATTTTCCTACTGAGCATCTCATATGCCTCCATGTAGTTGCCTCTGAGATGTCTTTTCCTAGGCTAAAGATTATAGCTTGATCAGTCATCCACTTCAGCTCATTCCTCTGAGAAAAATGGGGACCATTTGCTCAAATTGCACTATTTCTGGTTATTTCCTGTCGCTCACCTCCATCATTTCCCGTATGAAACTCAACACCTGCTCCCTTGACCGCATCACTCGCCCTCCTCATCTCCCAGCTCCACCTCCTTGCCCCCCTACTAACAGACCTTGTTAACTTCTATCTCTATCTCACTGCCTCCACCCTCGACTCCAGGACTGTTGATGTCCTGGCTAATTGTCTGTCTGACATCAAGTCCTGGATGAGAGCCAACTTCCTCCAGCTCATTGTTGACAAGACAGAGGCCTTCCTGCTCGACATTCAGCTAGTCTTCAAACCCAACATTCGTGCTGTGACCCGTTCCGTCTTTCCATACGTCCGCAACATTGCCCGCCTCTGCCACTGCCGCTCACCGCAGGCCGCCGAAATCCTGATCCACGTTTTCATTACATCCTGGCTTGACTACACCAATTGCCTGCTCGCTGGACTTCCCAACTCTTCCCTCCACAAGTTGCAGATTGAGAAGTGTCCTCTACCACACCAGGCTCCAGGAACCTATCATCCCCATTCTTGCCCAGTTTCACTAGTTCTCCATCTCTCAGAGAATCGAGTACAAAACCATTGTTCTTACCTTCAAGGCCCTCCACGGTCTTGCTCCCCCCTGCTTCAGGTTCCCCGCATTTCCCGCCCCACCATTGGCGGTCGGGATTCAGCATCTCTGCTCCCACACTCTGGAAGCCTATCCCGCAATTCTTCCGTCTCACCCCCTCTTTTGCCTCCTACAAGTCCTATCTGAAGAATTTCCTCTTGGACCGTGCCTTCAGCCACCTTCCCACTCCTACCCGCCCCTTCTGCCCCTAACTCCCAGCTCAGGTCCAAAACCCCTGATTTTTACCTCATTCACGGTATGTCAAGACGTATCTCTTTGACCATGCCTTCGGTTCTCTTTCTCCTCCCCATCCACTTGGCTCCCACCCCCAACTATTATTGTTAAACACTTTGGGTTGTCAACTTCATTCTAACTGCCAATTCTTTCCATGGCCTATAGTGACAATTCTAAGTGTGTTTGACTTTTGTGAATAGGGACCACCACTCCAGACAGTTATCGCTCCGTCCAGATAATGTAGTGAAATATATTGGCCCTGGAGGAAGTTGGTTTTTCTATTGTTCGAAATTTGATGTGAATGTTGGTGGAGATCGCAATGCGATCTGTTGCATAAGTCAGATTGTGCAGAGTTGTAGCTACTCTCTGCATGAATTCAATTAGATCTTTCCTCTTTACACATGGATGAGGGTGTTGGGAATGGGTTACATAGCAGGAGGTTGCAGGTTTGATTCTTATTTCTTTAGCTGTTCTCTGCCAGACAGCCCTTGGGACTACAAATTGCCACAGCACCTCGTTGGCTAGAGAAGAAAAATCAGCAGGAGTTCCAGATCCTGGTCGTGATTCCAAACCTTCTGTTGGCAGATTTGTTTCTGCATGTCAGGTGAAGACAGCACTGATGGCTGTCACTCCCACTGTGGTTCAATAAGGCGCATGGTTAATGCTCATACATAAACAATAGCCACATTGGCAATGTTCCAAAGTGCACCTGGAAAACTTCCGCAATAACAACAACAACAACAAGATTACATTTGTATAGTGCGTTTCACATCGGGAGGACGTCCCAAGGCGCTGGACAGTGTACAGCATTTCAGACCCAAGCTGGGGTCAGTGGTGGAGATGAGAGGGGAGGGGAAGGGGGGGTGATTGATGGCATAGTCGAAGAGGAGGGACTTGAAGGTGGCTAAGGAGGGGGCGAGGTGGAGGGATTGGAGGATGGAATTCCAGAGGTTGGGGGCAGAGTGGCTGAAGGCTCTCCCACCAATGGTGGGGCGGGTGGGTCGGGGGACGTGGAGCAGACCGGAGCCGGCTGAGTGGAGGGAACGGGTGGGTTGGTAGAGGGTTAGGAGGTCGCAGAGGTAGGGTGGGGTGAGGCCATGGAGGGCTTTGTATGTGAGGACCAGGATCTTGAACTGGATCCTCTGAAGGATAGGGAGCCAGTGGGGTCGGGCGAGAATGGGGGAGATGGGGTCACGGAGTTTGATGCGGGAGAGGACACGGGCTGCAGAGTTCTGGAGCCTGTGGAGGGAGCAATAGACGGAAAAGGGAGTTTAATATTTTTAGGAGAGGGAAAAAATTGAGGAAGAAAAAGTAGCAAGTAATAGCACAGAGATCTTGACAGAATTCATCTATTTTATTCCTATAGAATCAAACAGTCTTTCTATTGTGAAGCATTGCGTATTGCTCTAAAAAACACTTTTGTTCCTACAGAGAAAATCTGTTGGCACGCCAAGGCTCGGCTGTAGATCAGAGCTTGCTTGGACACACCGGCCCTACAAACCTGGATGTTGCAATGTTTCATCGACCACATGATGCAGGAGGAGGTGAGAAATTAAGAACATAAGAACATAAGAATTAGGAACAGGAGTAGGCCATTCGGCCCCTCGAGCCTGCCCCGCCATTTGATAAGATCATGGCTGATCTTCAGACCTAACTCTAATTACCTGCCCTATCCCCATGTCCCCTAATCCCTCTATTTTTTAAAAATCTATCAGTCTCAGCCTTGAAGATGTTCAAGGACTGAGCATCTACAGCCTTCTGGGGGAGTGAATTCCATAAATTCACTACCTTCGGAGTGAAGAAATGTTTCCTCAACTCTGTTCTAAAAGGCTGACCCTTAATTTTAAGACTGTGACCCCTGGTTATAGATTCTCCTACCAGGGGAAACAGACCCTCAGACCCTTTATCCAGCCCTTTAAGAATCTTGCACGTTTCAATAAGAACTCCCCTAATTCTTCTGTACTCTGGAGAATACAGCCCTAGTTTATTCAGCCAATCCTCATAGGTCAGTCCCCTCATCCCAGGAACTAACCGAGTGAATCTACGCTGCAACCCCTCTCGGGCAAGTATGTCCTTCTTTAAATAAGGAGATCAAACAGATCTCCTTGCACACAATACTCCAGGTGCGGTCTCACCAAGGCCCTATACAGTTGCAGCAACACTTCCCTCCTCTTGTACTCTAAATCTTTTGCAATGAACGCTAACATGCCGTTCGCCTTCTTGGTTGCTGCTGCACCTGCAAACTAACTTTTTGAGACTGGTGTACAAGGACACCCAAATCCCTCTGCACACTAACACTATCTAATCTCCCCTTCTAGAAAATAATTGTTTTTTCTATTTTTTCTACCTAGATGAATAACTTCACACTTCCCTACATTAAATTCCATCTGCCACCTACTCGCCCACTCCCCTAGCCTATCTGTATCCTGTTGCAATCTTTTTGCATCATCCTCAGAGCTTACCTTCCCACCTAGTTTAGTGTCATCCGCAAATTTAGATATGTTACATTCAATGTCCTCGTCTAGATCATTGATGTAAATTGTAAATAGCTGCGGCCCAAGCACTGATCCTTGTGGCTCTCCACTAGTCACATCCCGCCAATTCGAGAATGACCCGTTTATCCCTACTCTCTGTTTTCTACCCGTTAGCCACTCATCAATCCATGCTAATATGTTCCCATTAATCCCGTGGGCCTTAACCTTGTGCAATAGCCTTTTGGGTGGCACTTTGTCAAATGCCTTTTTAAAATCTAAATGTACTACATCTACTGGTTCCCCCCTATCTAACCTGCTAGATACATCTTCAAAAAACTCTAAAAGCAAGAAGGCGAACGGCATGTTAGTGTTCATTGCAAAAGGTTTAGAGTACAAGAGTAGGGAAGTTTTGCTGCAACTGTATAGGGCTTTGGTGAGACCGCACCTAGAGTAGTGTGCAGTTTTGATCTCCTTATTTAAAAAAGGACATACTTGCCCTAGAGGGGGTGCAGCGTAGATTCACTCGGTTAGTTCCTGGGATGAGGGGACTGACCTATGAGGATAGGCTGAATAAACTAGGGCTATATTCTCCAGAGTACAGAAGAATTAGGGGAGTTCTTATTGAAACGTGCAAGATTCTTAAAGGGCTGGATAAAGGGTCTGAGGGTCTGTTTCCCCTGGTAGGAGAATCTATAACCAGGGGTCACAGTCTTAAAATTAAATTTCAGCCTTTTAGAACAGAGTTGAGGAAACATTTCTTCACTCCGAAGGTAGTGAAAGCCATGTTGACTCTGCCTAATCTTCTTATGGTCTTCCAGGAATCGCATAACGACATCTTTAATTAAGGACTCAAGATTTTCCCTACCACTGATGTCAGACTAACTGGTCTATAGATCCCCATCTTTTCTCTCCCACCCTTCTTAAATAGTGGTGTTACATTTGCAATCTTCCAATCAATGGGAACCGTTCCAGAATTCAGAGAATTTTGGAAGATCAAAGACAAGCCATCCACTATCTCGGTAGCCACCTCTTTTAAAACCCTAGGATGTAGGCCATCAGGTCCAGGAGATTTATCAGTTTTAAGACCTGACAATTTACCTAAAACCATTTCTTTACTAATATTAATTCCCCCAAGTTGCTCGCTAACATTGTCTTCTTGGTTCCCCTCTATTCTTGGTAGGTTTTCAGTGTCTTCTAAGGTGACGACAGTAGCAAAGTACTTGTTTAATGACTCTGCCATGTCTTTGTCCCCTACTATAATTCCCCCCGTCTCTGCCTGTAGCGGACCCACATTTACCTTTGACAGCCTCTTCGTCTTTATATATTTATAAAAACTCTTGCAGTCTGTCTTTATGTTCTTCGCTAGTTTGCCCTCATATTCCATTTTCTCCCTCTTAGTCACTTTTTTGGTTCTCCTTTGGTAGCCCTAAAGTTCTCCCAATCCTCGGGTTTACTACTCATTTTAGCAGTTTTATAGGCTTCTTCCTTTAACTTCATACTTTCCCTAACTGCTCTAGTTAGCCACGGTTGGGCCACCTTTCCCGTGGCATTCTTATTCCTCAAAGGAACATCGCCAGACTACGGCACTACCTCACCCCTCATGCTGCTGAAACACACACAGCCTCTCTGCCCCGAGGCTCTGGAACTCCATCCCCCAATGCCTTCGCCTTGCTTCCTCCCTTTCCTCCTTCAAGGCCACTCTCAAGACCTTTCTCTTTGACCGTGCCTTCACCTCCCCTCTCAACTCTCTACCTCCTCCTCGCTCCCTCCCTTCCCTCCCCTCACCCTGACCATTTACCCCCTGCTCGGGTCCCGACCCAACTGTCCAGCGCCTTGGGACGTCCTCCCAACGTGAAAGGCGCTCTATAAATGCAATCTTGTTGTTGTTGTGAATATGTGCTCGCTGGGAACTTAAACGTCTGCCGTTGCTGGTCTCCTGTCAAATCCTGAAGTCTAATTTCCCAGTTTATTTTGGCTAAATCCTCTATCATACCAGCAAAATTGGCTCTACTTAAATTTAAAACCTTTGCTTCGGACTTAACTACTTCTCTCTCTGACTTACTGCTAAATTTCATCATATTATGATCACTTTGCCCTAGAGGAGCCTTAATTTCCAGTTTGCTGATCAGTCCTGCTTCATTGCACAAAACAAGGTCTAATATGGCCTGTTCCCTGGTTGGCTCCTCGGCATTCTGATCTAGATAATTATCCCTAATACATTCTATAAACTCATCCTCTATCATACTTTTCCCAATTTGGTTGTCCCAATCTATGTGCAGATTAAAATCACCCACAAGTAATGTTTTTCCTTTACTACATGCTCTGCTAATCTCCAGATTTATACGTTGAGAGATACTGTGACTGCTGTTCGGGGGTCTATAAACTACTCCCACTAGAGTTTTCTGCCCCTTGTTGTTACGTACCTCTATCCATACTGACTCTACTTCCTGCTTTTCTGATTTAAAATCTTTCCTCTCTACTGTTGTTATCCCATCCTTTATTAACAGGGCCACCCCCCCTCCTCGTTTACGAAATTGCCTATCTTTTCACATACCCTGGAATAGTTAGCTCCCACCCTTGATCTCCCTGTAACCATGTCTCGGTGATGGCTACCAGATCATACCCGTTTGTTTCTATTTGTGCATTTAACTCATCTAGTTTCGAATGCTTCGCACATTCAGATATAGCACCTTTAATATCTCTTTGGTTAATCTGCTCTCCCACTTTTATTGATCCTAATTTTAATTGTGACGGATTACATATGATAGAATTTGCCCCCCCCCCCCTTAGTAGTTTAAAGGAGTTTTGATTTAATGTTTCCTTAGTGGTATCACTCAACAACAACAACAGCTTGGATTTATATAGCGCCCTCCACGCCGGATGGAGTCTCAGAGCGCTTTACAGTTTAGGATCCCGGGACTGAGTCAGGGGGAGGGGTGGGAAGGTGACCAAACGCGTGGTCGAAAAGAAAGGTCTTCAGCAGAGACCTGAAAATGGGAAGGGAGGGAGCGAGACGAAGGGAGTGAGGAAGGCAGTTCCAGAGCCTCGGAGCATAGTGGCTGAAGGCACGGCTGCCGAGGGTGGAACGGAGGAATCGGGGGACAAGGAGGAGGCCAACTCGGAGGAATGAAGGCAACGGGTACTGTTTTGAGGAGAGAGGAGGTCAGAGAGGTAGGGTGGTGCAGAGGAGTACAGGGACTTCAATACGAGTGTGAGGATCTTGAAATCGATCCTCTCTGGGATAGACAGTGCAGTCTGGCAAGGACTGGGGTGATCGGGGAGCGGAGTTTCCTGCGGGTGAGAATGAGGGCGGCAGAGGTCCGAATTAGTTGGATTTTATGGATGGTAGTGGATGGGAGACCAGTGAGGAGGGCGTTTGAATAGTCCAGCCGGGAGGTGACAAAGGCATGGACCAGAGTTTCAGTGGCTTTTGGGGAGAGGTATTGGCGGAGATGGGCGATGCGTTGGAGGTGGAAGAAAACGGTTCTGGTGAGGGACCGGATGTGGGGGAGGAAGAATAATTGGGGTTTGAACCTGAACCTAGGTTGCGTAAGGTTTCGGAGAGTTTTAGGGGAAGTTCAGGTAGGTTGAGGAGGTGAGAACCGTGAGATTTTAGACGTTGACGAGAGCCGAAGAGTATGGCTTCCGTCTTGTCAGCGTTCAGCTGAAGGAAGTTTGCACTCATTCAGCCCCTGAGATCTGACAGGCAGCTGACAGAACATCAGGGCACTTGGGGTCGCAAAGAGAGGTGGAAAAATAAAGTTGGGTGTCATCTGCATACATGTGGAAATGTACGCCATGTCTGCAGATGACATCCCCAAGAGGGAGCATGTAGATCAGCAAGAGGAGGGGGCCAAGGATGGATCCTTGGGGTATCCCACAGGTAACCGGGAGAGAGCAGGAGGAGAAACCATTTGTGCAGATGTACTGCTGGCAGTTTGTGAGGTAGGGCTCAAACCAGGCGAGTCCGGTCCCACTGAGGTGAATGATGGAGGAAAGGCGATGGAGGAGGATGGTGTCGTCGACTGTGTCGAACGCAGCGGAGAGGTCCAAGAGGACAAGGAGGCAGA